TTACAGTTTTTAAGTAGGAACGATATGTTTGTAAATATCAGTACGCTATTATCGAGTATGTATTGGAGTGACGTTTATATGCTTGTACTAGTGGATAGCATCAAAAACAAGGCAATTTTTGTTTGAGGTTCATTTGCTAAATCGTTCTGTATATGTGAAATGGATCATGCTTTAATTCAGTCCTACATAATCGCAAACAACTGTCTCCCTGAAGTCATGTTGTAAACTAACAGAGGTCATTAAGATTATCCCGGTTACCTTGAAAATGTTTTTCTCAGAAAACAGTTCCCCCCACAAATGTTATGGAGTAGTCGTACACACTCTCACATTTATTGACAATATTTTACTATTGGTTATGCTTAAAATATTCATTTTATACCAAAACCACTGGAGGTTTGGTAAAATTGTGTTACATTCTTCATTCAGTTTTGTAGGAACAAGGTAAGAGTTGCTACGATTGTTTAACTGACCAAAAATATTTTGTTCCCATAGTAATTGTAATGTAAGAGTTGAACTTGAATTTTTACATACTCTAATCTCAAAAAATAAAATTCCGACGGTTTTAATGTCTAACATGAATCGATTGAAGTTAGACAATAACACCGTTGGATGCCGTCTCAGTGGTCTAGAAATTAAGTTTTCGCTCGTGAAACCAAAAATCCTGGGTCCGAATCACGCGTGAAGGATCATGGACCCGCATTGTTGAGGCAGCCCATACCAAGACGAGATGGCCATCTAGGTTTCTAATAGCAGTCTAGCTTAGATCGACTCGTGAACTTGGCTGTTAATATTCTTTACCCATGCACCTTGGGTTTAGGCTTATTACTCTTATTATATATTGGCGTGCATGAAGTTTAAAAACATGAAAAGATCATTGTGAGCTTTAGAAATAATTAATCAAATGCTAATATTTTATCATATACCTTCAACTATTTTTGTTAAAGTATGTTGTGTGGGTAGTATTAAACAAAATATTTTTGCCCTTAGCTTAGATACTAAAACATTTAATTATCTAAATCAAAGGAATTCGTTATCAGTGATGTCGAATTATCCTACCGAAAATTAACGATTTTCTTATAAGCTAAGCTCATTATTATAATAGACTATATTTACGTTGACAACTATGACTAGAATAACCAAATAGAGTTTATCTGTAAATGACTATCATTTACTAAGTAATAAATTGCAAACATTGGTACTTTTATGATTATAACTCATAGATTAATATAACAATTTCCTTACTCATAAACTATCGGTTTCGTATGGTGAACAATGAACACTCTAAGAAGATTAGCTGGTGAATGAAACATAATGGTGTATATATTTTTTTCGAAAAATTATGGTATTCCAAATAACAACTGGTTAAATTCATGGGTCAGTTGAGGCTGAATAGAATTTTACGGTCATCAATGACTAAGGAATATCATCTCAATTATGGTAGCTGAATATAATTCCCTTTCCTCTGATTAAATGATCGAACTAGAAATATCAGATGCCTTTGTAGTGCCCAAAGTAAGGTGGCTGATTTTCGGACTCATTAAATTCGTGGTATGATACTGTTATTCAAATCACAAATTAATTTGAAATGACACGCAATCAATTGAATGAGAATAATTCACATCAAATGTTGGGCATAAGTTTCATGTTAAGCGGTACTCATCAGTAAGATGCACTTCCAACCAGTAACAAAACGATGCTCCCTATAGGATTCGAAACTGCCACCCAGTTCTGCAGTCTGATAAATTGCGTCTAATCTATTAGGACTGAGATATTTGTATTCACTGATCACTGAGTGGTGACATGTTATGTTTGTCTAGTCATTTGGATTCTATGAACGATATTATAGATAAGTAATAAATCCTACAGACACGTCTTAGTTCATTAGTTAGTGATGAAAAACCTACTTTTATTTTTGGTCCGTTCAAGTGTTTCGGTTAATTATTTCGAGTTTTTAACAGTGGCTATTCAGTCATATCGTGTCATTACATTCTATCGATTGATGGGCATTCTATTTACTTGGAAATCGATAAACGTCCTTCAATAAAATCATTCTCATTAAGAGCCATCTCGTAATGAGGCCACTGCTTGAAGTTGCGCGAAATCGCGTATACGTTTCAATATGACGTTGGCTACTACTCAATGACAGATCACAGAAAATATCTTTGCGATGACATCGACAAAAAAACTCGCATAAATTGTAATTTTTTATCAATGAAAACGTGTCACTTCCATTCATGTTGAACAGACCGTACCTCACGACCAGTAACTTTAAATGTTGATATTTATCTGAAAGAAGTTGTTATCAATTGAAAACTTTCTCGTACTTATACTTGTAATCAACAATTCAATAAGAAATTTTATTTGTTTTTCTATCGTAAAAGTCTAATCATGCATTTTTCGCAGAAACTCTCTCAAGAGATAATTATATAGTAATCGGAGACAGGTTGACTATGAATTAGTGTTATAGACAAGCATTGAATACAGGTTGTTGAGAAAAGGTTCAATAACAGTTGTTCGAAATCAAGGTCGACAGAACAAGTTGTTAGTCGTATGTAGGTAAATTCTAATAAATTACTTCCATCTGAAGTTTGTGTTGACGATGTTGTCTTAGAAGAATATAAGCTTATTTAACGTATATAAACGCATCAATCTATACACTACTATTATTGAAATAGTAATTGTTTATGCCTAACCGAGAAATGAACAAATTGAACCAAATAACGTTTTATATCATTTATTTTGACCAAGAAAAAAACAAGCAAATAAAAAAGCAGTGAAATACAGCGACAGTGAAGGTGTATTGGGTATCCTTTTATTTCATTCCCTGTTCAACTCTCTCTTATGTAATATATGCATCGATGACAAAAGATGAAAATAAAAGTAAAACATTATATATATATATATATATATATATATATATATATATATATATATATATATATATATATATATATATATATATATATAATTATTAATGGGAAGAAATGGTCAGTCAGTAACAACGTAGAACTTCGTACGTACGTACATAAGTTCGAGTTGTCATACCACATTAGCACAGAGATGCAATTGCCATCTCGCGGATTCCAACCAGATAGTCCACATATACAATCATGACTCAGTCTACTTGTCAGTGGCTCCATAGATTTGTGCCATATTTTAGTCTAGCAGCCTCTAGCTTTCTTCCAACCTACTCCAACGCCGTGAAACATCGCTCGTTAGGGCAGTCGGTGGTTCGCATACGTAACACGTGTCCCAGCCATCTCAACTGATGAAGTTTCACCACTTCATCAATTGATTTACCATCCTTACATAGTACCCGTTTCCTAATAATTGCATTACTTACTCGATGGTCCCACGATACACGAGCCATAAATGACACAAGTTGGCAAAAGCTAGTCGAGCCTTCTGTATCCGTGCTGAGATTTCGTCACACACCAGACCACAAGGGCTGATGAGACTTCCAAGATAAGTGAAGCGGTCGACACGCTCAACTACTTCACTCCCTATCATTAGTTCGAGTGTCAATGCAACCCAATCCTGAAGCAACATTTCGCATTTCGAGAGGGAAAATCGCATGCCGAACATGCTAGCATTGTTGCTTAGAGTGGTCAGAAGACTCCGCATTTTGTCAGCGTTATCAGCATATTCTAGGTCAAAAAGTGAATCTCTCGGTAGAAGTTCGACCCCTGGAAATCTAGATGAGGAAAGTGTTATCTCTAAAAGCACGTCAACGACAAAGTTAAACAAGAATGGAGAGAGTGGACAGCCCTGACTAAAACCACTTGAGGTAATCGATTCTGATGACAGTTCGCTATAAGCTCTCAAGAAATGGGAAATTACTAAAGCAAACAAAATCCAGATATATGCATATATAAAGAAAATTTTACAGGTCAAAGTGACAAAAAGAAAGCAATTAGACAGTAATCATATTCATCAGTAAAATAGTAACAGATCAGATTACTGCAACTATTATAATTAATCAAACTAAACTGTATGCACAATAGAGTAAGTATTCTGGAAATGTTACATTTGTGTTAGTTAATATGAATGATCAATGAATTGATATGATAATGATGAAGAATAATATGATAATCAAGTCACTACACACATACATACAATTATATACACATACATTCGTATACTGTTTGAAAGAGAGAAAAAGTGAATTCACTTAAAGTAAACTTATAAAAACCGTAGATTAACGTAGTATTTTATGGATAAAGACCATCCAAAGAGTAACAATCGACATTCAAAACAATAAAAAAACAAGTAAAAAAAAAGACAATGTTTAAAAAAGAAACTAAAGAGTAGTTGAATATGGTGAAAACCAAAAGAGAGAAAAAACCACCAAAAAAACATAAACATACACAATGGCGAAAAAAAAAACTAGATAATACAAGTATGTACATACATAACAAAGAGTACTTTCAATGAAAGCACAGAGAACAAATTGTTAAAGAACATAATAGACTAACTGAATGTACAAACTCAAGTGTATATATAAATATACGAAAATATGAATTAAACTGATTATTATTATTATACAATAAAGCATAAGATGAGGGTTAGGACTTTGTAAACTGAAGAAATAATAATCAAATGCTTAATACATTTATATAAGATACCATCAACTAAAGTGAAATAATCCATCCACTAAATAGATTGTTAATGTAAATTATATATATATATATATATATATATATATATATATATATATTACAATCATTAGATGACTAATTTTCAACAGTTGTTCCGCTCAGTAACAAAAGTCAAAAAGTATCTTGAATACATGACATGATCAACACATCATTATATGTATTGAATGCATTTTATTATATCAATGGAATATACAAATAAAATAAGAAACGATACCTTTAAAAATCATTATTTCTTATTGGATTATAATTGTAAATTATAGAATAATAATTCAAAGTAGAAATTCTTTAAACATAAAGAATATAGAATAAGCACAAAAGAAAATAATCATAATCATAATCATTCTAAGTCAATCGATTAGCCAGTACAAATTGATGCGTTTTCTCAGCTAGATCAATTAGAACGGAATAAATATGCGGTGATAATGAAACAGGATAAATATCTGTTATTTTATTTTCATGATTATGATTTTTTATCGGTGTAGAATTGTTATTCATTGTAGAATTGGATATGTCATTATTATTATTATTACTACTATTATTGATAGTAGTAGTAGTAGTATCATTTAAGTGATTGATGGAATTATTATTTATTCGACAAATTGTAGTCGATTGATGTTTCGGATGATATGCTTCTAATAAATAATATGCTAATTGAGCTAATTCACGACTAAGTGATTTACAACTGGCTTTACGTGCATCTGTTTCATATAACTGTTCTAATTGTTTGATTTCATTTGTTGACAATGGAGACTGTGAAATGAATATAAAGATAAAAATTAAAAATATCTATTAATTGTACAAAATGAAGTTAGTTAAGGTGGGCGTTTATAAAGACTATATGAACCTGTTGAATAGTTAACATCCATCATAAAAAAGAGTGGCTTAGACCCAAAATATTACTGTATCATCATAGCGAGCGCTTAAACGTTAAGTTGTCATTCAATTTAGTTTATACTTCTAAGCTCAAACAATTTTCAATATAGATCAACCATCTATCAATATCATTAAAGAAAAACTGTCTCTGTTACATCACATGATTGAATTGGACTAGTCACAGTTTCTTACTAGGATTTAGGCAATCATCTCTCGAAATTATTTACCTGATGAGCACATGATATTCACCACAGTAAGTTGCAGATATACATTGGTGAAAACTTGCACATATCCAAGAAACAATAGTCAAAAGTATTTTTTTTTCAATAGTTGTCTAACTAAGGTTAGTTTGTAATGTAAACTTTAGCAATGAACTTACTTTACTTAGAAAGCCAATAATCACATCATAATATATGGTAGGTGGATAACGAAGATAATTTTTGTACATAGTCCGTAATATTAATTATAATAATATGTCCTTTCTATTCACAAGTACTTTATCTAAGCTTAATACTAAGGCGAAAAAATTTAAAATTATCAATAGTTGAACTAACATCTTGTCAATGCTGGTCACAAAGTAGAACAAAGTGACTCTAGTGTACATGTATACACAGATAATTTAAAACGAAAGAATTTCACTGAAAAGTGAGATTTTTACTTTCAATTTCACGAATAGATTATGACGCATTGTGTTTAAAAATAAAAGGTTAGGTAATCACAAACGCAATCTTATCTGTAGTGTTCACAAAATTGCATTTGAGAATTGCCAATTAAAACTAAGTTACATCGGAAGAGCTTCCTGGATATGAACTACTGCCGACAAAAGAATGATTTCTTCAGAATACATAAATTTTTGGTCATATTAACAGTGTTTTTAAGAGCCTTTACATTAGAACTAGGTATTTGGTTATGGTCTTCTAATGTTCCACTGGAAAATATCGGATAAGTGTCTCCACAAGATATACTTTTAACATAAATGGTGAAGTGTTATCCAGGTTATATACAGTATTAGACTTAGGTACTCCTACGACTTGTCGTTTACAAAACAGATATTGAAACAGACTTCCAAGTTTCAACGTCTTAGAAGCCCCATAACTCGGAACCTTTATAACAATTAGTCACGTATTTTAATGTACAAAGTTTGTGTTCGACCACTCATTCAATACTGCACGTTTATTCTTACTAGTGCGCGTATAAAGGATAAATTAAGGCTGGAATCAGTACAGAGACGATTGTACCTTGACTTATAATTCTAGATGTAATAAACTTCGGCTCGAACCTTTATGGAAGAGCACACTCAAACTAAATCTTATCTTTTTCTTTAAAATACCTAATAAACTATCCTTTACATCCAATCAACTGGTTCAATATGCAGAGACTTCTCACCACAACATCTGTAATTCTTTGTCACTAGTGAAACAAAACCATTCTAAATTATCTCTCTATACGAATTACTTTACCTGTAAATTTTCTAGACTCTGGAATAATCTACCACAATCGATCCATACGATAAAATCATTCCTATTATTTGTTCGCTGCATTGATGCATACTGCTTCTCTGAAAATGCATTGAATGTTCTAGCACCTGTTAGTGTATCTTATTCAACAAGTGATATTATAGGAACTTTAAATGTTTAACCATTCTTATTAGTGAATTCCCTATGTAAAACCACTTGCTTGTTGTCACTTTACGTTAACACTATCCCAAGCAACCTTATGTAATTTGAATGATATCTAACATTAACAGTATATCACTGTGTCACATGATATATGTGTTATAGTAGACCTGACTGACATACTTTGGTAATTATTGCTTTGTTGTTCCGTGCTCTCTGTTTTCGTTTTACTTTCTCTAGTTGTAGATAATTATGATAAATTTGATCTGGCACAGGAAATGACCTTAAATACACCATTCATTAATCAACAGGCTGTCCACTTAAGAAAAATTAAATTTCGTGACTGACGTATTGGATTGCTGTAATACATGCACTACCTAAACAATTGCTGAATTAGTAAACGTAAAACAATCTTATATGTTTGTTCTCTATATCTAATGTTACTATTTATATCAAATTGATCATGCTTGTAACCTGGCGTGAATTCTGTAAATATTATTTTCAGAATATAAATATATATTAAAATGAACAGTGTTGAATAAAATGTCACAAGAATCTGTTATTGAGGTATATGATATGATATAGAATGTTTGCCTTTAAAATAAGTCGTGAATGACATGATGTCAATGGTAGTAAGAAAAGACTACCTGAAAAACAATACGTTCCGAGATGAAGGAACAAATTCACAGAACAAAGTATTAGATTATTTTAGAACAAAAAAATCGAAGAGAAAACAAAACGTGGATATATCATCGCCGAATTGTGATTGCATTTGACTCACTTTACACGTCTCTAACCAATGGTTGGAATTATTGAGTTAATTTAAACATACCTGTAAGACTGTATTTAACAGTTGATGACTTCACAAGCTGAGAAGACATATCACGGTTTGGTTGCTCTTAGTTTTCATTAGACCACATTAGTCGATCCGCCATCATTATCTAGTACCCTATATGTAACCTTACTATTGCTCGCTACTCAGTGGTCCCAACATACATGAACAATCTACCCAAGAACTCTTCGACACACATTAAACTGATCTTGTTTATTATTACTACTTTCAATTCAAATGCTAAGCCAAGAACAATGTTGAAAAAGTATGGCATTATAATACGGCCGATCGTCTGCAAAGTTATTACACGATATTCTGATGATTATTATTAATCATATAATACATACTGAAATATACCATGATTTCAATCGAAGAACTGTAAGAAACAACATTATTCAAAAACTGAATCTTGCTTGTTGTTTCAGTTAGACAGTAATACACACATATATGCATTGTTTCATACTGGAATACTACATTGGCACAGTGAGATAGTTATTTCCAGAGTAGTGAAATTAACCATGTCAACAGTAGTAATAGGAAACATTAGGTATGGAAAAGAAAAAAATTTGACAGCATTCTGGAACTTAGATTATGAAAGAAAACAAGGAATGAGTGTTCATTCTTGAACAATGATAATTTACTGTAAAAAGACTGTTGACTTTTCATCACGAGCTGATCTTAATGAGGGTTGTGAATGGTCACTGATGAGAAGTTCCATATCAGGACAAAAGAGCCAACTAATATTTGGTGGTTTTCAATTATTGATTAAATAACATTTATTTATTTAAACACATAAACATCGGTACAGGGAGGCATCAAATAGATATGCACCACATAAATCATTCGATTTGTGTGAAGGCTGGGATGCTGCCCAGATGCCCAAACCGAAACAGGTGGTTTCCTTAGGCGACCACAACCGGAGTCTTTGGTCTGAAGGTCTGATCCAAAAGGCAGTACGGCAACATTATAAGAAGGTGCAGTCCCATGACCTGGTTAAAGCGCCGGATATTCGCTGTTAATCTTCTCAATTTCCTAAACAACACCCTTACAACGAGAATGCAGTGAGTATGACTTCCATGGCAATGGTTGTGTGCACGTGGCTATGTGAAAGCATTTTAAGAAGGAGAACTGGCTCTCTACACTCATAGCTGTACAGGGCGTTTGTGAACATTAATTTACATTAAATGTATAAATTAAACAAAGCAAACAAAAACCAATAGCAACTAGATGTGTTTTCAATTACTTTCAAAAGTTCTATGCTTAAAACACAAAATTAACATAAATTTCCAAAATAGAACAATAACTTACAGTAATAGGTATACGAAATTCATTTAATAATCTTGTTCGTAAACTCATAAATTGTTCCAATGATAAAAAACCATCAGCTTGTGTTTTCGGTGTTTCATTCAGACCGACAAGAGCTAATAATGTTTTAGCTATTAAAGCAAATGCCTACAAATAATTAATACGATAATCATTACTTAAAAATATTATATTAAGTAGTAATGAAGAAAACAAATTATACTTATATGTATATAATTTTTATTAAGACTAGGTTATGAAAGCGAAACTATTCACAGATGAACTATACTAATAAATTAATTTGTTTAGTGACTAATGGGATGTATGTCAAGTACTGCTTATTGCTGATCAGTCAGTCAGTCAGTTACAACGTAGGACCAGGCACATATGTGCATCGGTCCAGGTTGCCATACAGCATCAGCACAACAAGATGAACACCGGATTCACAGCAGTGGTTAGGTCAAAGGTGGTAATATATAAGAGAAAGATTGCATATAGAGATATAGTACAAGAAGAAAGAATTAGTTCGTAGAAAGAAAGATATGAAGTGATTTTAATCTCTTAGTTTAAGGGAAGACAGGGAGTGTATACACCGACGCCATTGTGATCGATTCTGAGCCATGTCACCAAGAGTCTCCAACCATTGGTTACGAAAGTCACGCGGACCCCAACCAAGTAGTCTGCATCTACCAACATGGCTCAGACTAGAAGTTAGTGTCTTCAAGCATTGATGCCACGTTTCGGTTTGGCCGCCCCTAACTTTCTTCCAACCATCTCCAATACCGGATAGCATTGCACGTCGTGGTAGTCGGTGTTCAGGCATACGTAACACGTGGCCCAACCATCTCAGTCGATGAAGATTCATAACCTCATCAACTGACTTACCATCATTCCCTAATACCCTGCGTCTAACCTCACTATTATCCTGATCGAATTTCATTGGACTAGTCGCAACGCGGCTACTAGTCTACGGGAATCAACAATACGTGCGCAATGTTTCGTGCTATTTGCCACTCATTACCAAGGTGTGCTTGTAATTTTGAGAAGAAAGATGTCCCCTAGTGGATGTGATACCGTACCACTCAGCTTCACGGTCAGACAGATTACCACTGAGCTATTCACACCGCAACTAAACTCTTACATCACTGAGTAGCGACTAATGTTGTGTATGTCAAGTCCTTCATAGTGCTGACCAGATTCGATCGATCATGTTACGGACAAATCTAACTGACAAGTACCGAATAGCACGAAAGCTAGGTTCAGGGTTCCCTATTGATTACCTCCAAACACCATCATACAACTTTATTTAAATGTTTTCTATTATAAATAACCAAAAATCAAACCTCGATAGATATTTAAATTGGTACATAAATATTGGTTCAGATTAAGTAAATAAGAAAATGGAGAGAGTGATAAAAATTCAACTAAAAGAACAAACAGGAATTAAAATTTACAAATGAATGATTGTTAGATAAATCAAATAAGAAACTTAAACAAAAGTAAATTTTCATTCAAAATCTCACAATGTTATAAGAGCCAAAATAGACGACATGGGACTAGCATTATTTCAATCAAAGTCCGACAAAGGAGAACACCTCAAACAGAATAATACTGTACACTTACTTCAGATGCATGTGATGGAACAGTTGGTGAATTCGCACCAGAATTTAATTGAGGAAAAGAAGACCATGAATGATAAGAAGAATTAGTAGTTGAATTTGTATATGATGAATGGAAAACATCATTAGGAAAACCAGATAAAATACCGTGAATAGATCCATTGAGCGATTCTGAACAAATTGTTTTACCCAAAGATGAAAGCGAATATAACACTGGACAAAGACCACGTAGAAAAACTAGATTACACACTACAACATTACTATGGTTAGGTGAATATAAAGCCTGTAAAAGGAATTTAGGAAAAAAGGAGAACAAAAAAAGTAGTTCTCAGTATGGATGAACGAAGACTGTAGAATTTCATTGAAATCATGAGCCGATCTAAGTTAGATCACCAGTGAAGAACAAGAAGTACCCTGAAACGGCCATCCATTGCTTCCAGGTTCCCAATAGTGGTCTAACTTATATCAGTTCATGATTTCAATGAAAGACAAAATAATTCAAAATGATAAAAATTATACAACTAATAAAGTCTTGTCTTTAAAATAAATCCAAACAATTTAAACATTTAATGAAGTGCATAATCATACCACAGAAGTACAAAAATGGAAATATCTAGGAATATGACATTGACTTTTTGTAGTTAAATGATCATTTTGATATACCGGCAGGCAATATGTAACAATAAACTACAGTATACGATTGTCTGAGGTAAAAAAATAAGAAAGATCTTAGGTAATATGACTTATGATATACTGTAGTACAATAAAGGTACTTATTGTTTATCACTGACTTCTGCCAAAAAACATGCTGAGTCGCGATATTATTCTTTTACATCATTCCTACTTCTCGAACTATATTATATATACTTATTCTTCCATAACGACTACTATTACCACTAATATTTCAACTCGTTTGCAATGCTTATGGTCGATTTACATCGAGCTGTGCTAATATGATGTATCACCACTTAATAGTGATAAAAATTTATGTCAGATCCTATGTTGATCAAGACTGACTGCGTATCAAGATGTATTAGAATGTCTTAATTAGAGATGCTAACTATTGATTAATAAGAGTAATTTTCACTCTCAATATCCAATTTAATGAAAACCCCGCATAATAGAAGATAAGTTATTCACGTTTTATACATATGCTTACGAAACGATTTTTTACAATCAACCTAATAGTAAAATGTTTGCATAGTGAGTTCGTAAATCCATTCTCTTAAAATCATGTAATTTTCTTGTAGAAACTACTAAACAACTACATTTCCCAGAACGTTTCCAAACGGTAGTTTCAGGATATACCACAAATATAAATGCTGATCACTTTGGACTTCATAAATTTACTTAAACGATGATACATCACTCTAAAAAAACAAGACATCAATAACCTTAAATTTTTGGACGATTTAAACAGGATTAAGGAAAAACTCAGATAAAATAATCATTTCCAACAACTAAGTGTTAACAGTAATTACTCTAGTATGACAACAGTGAATAAATCAATACAAATGTACCTGTAATTCTGAATAGATCCAACGAATTTGTAGAGGAAATGTGCGTACATACGTTATCAAGTCATCCACAGCAATGGAGAGCAAATGGTGATGCCACTCTTGTTCACGTGTATGATGATGTTGAAGAGAACCTGAATCAAATATATAAATATGTATATATGCTAAGATTGTTTTAGTAAATATTATACGGAAAAGATGGCTCAGAATCGACCACAATGGTGTAGGTGTATACACTCTTTTTTTCTCTTAAACTATGAGATTAAAATTATTTCATACCTTTTTTCTACGAACTAATTCTTTCTTTCTGCACTATGTCCTTACATAAAATGTTCCCTTTATATATTACACTATCGAGTTAACTGCTTCTATGAATCCAGTGTGCATCTTGCTGCGCTAATGAAGTGTGACAAATTGGACCGATGCATGTATGCGCCTGGTCCTACGTTGTAACTGACTGACTGACGGAAAAGATAATCAAACTAAAGAATACTACCGAATGACCTTGAAATGCTGATCCGTTTCGACCAATCAGAAAGCAATCAAAGCTTTATATAGTGTCAAAGTCAATGTGACATATATTTACTTAAAATTAATTATATAATTAATTTGAAAATTATGTAACTTACCTTGATTAGGTGTAGTAGATGAGATTTGGTCGAATTTCACTGAACCAGTGGCACCAGTTGATAATGAATATGGACGCGTTGTAAGTGCATAATGTGAATTGGTAGAATTTGTACAATGATGAGAACTTTTATCAACAGAAGGACGTTGATTGAATGTTGATTTTATATTGCTAGCACTATTAATTTGACTTACATTAAGAGATGGGTTTGAAGATGTAGTTGAATTAGATTTTATTGACGGTGGACCTTCCAGAGCTTTTTCACATACACGTCGAAAACACTGACTACGCCAAGCTGCACACACAGTAGTACTATAGATATCTAGTATTTGTGCTCCCAATGAACTGCCCCGAAAAGAAGCACCTATAAATAAAATTTACAAGTACATAAAGAAATACTACTATTAAATCAAATATCTGGTGTTTTTTAAACTTCGGATAATACATTCATCTTATATCTTATGATCTGTTATTTGAAGTAGATGGGTTATATGACACTCGTCAGAGATGATAGCTAATTTTGCTCAACGTTATTATAGGTTTCTTTTTCTAGATATAACTCACCTAACAGGGAATTGACAAATTAAACTAGAGAATGTAGATGAGGCTAGTAAAATGAATGAATGATGGCTAGCAGTGGAATCCAGGACGCGCATTTCGTCCTACCATTTACATTTTTCAGTTACATGTTGCGAGGGATAGTAAGATATCTATTGGCAAATCAGATCACAAATACCTATTATATTATAAACGTAATATATAACATAAAACGAAGTAACTAACAAAAGAAACATACTTGGCTTATCGTTATTTACTTCAATTCGTAGTAAATTGACAATCAACTCTAAATGACAATTCAATTCGATTGTTGTTAATAATAGACTGGTAACAAAATTCATTTGGTTCATATTGTGTGCAAATGATTTCCAAACATGAATACAAAGAGGTATGAATTCAGAATTCATATAGTTTCTTATTGTCTGTAAAAATATACAAAGGGAAAAACATACAGCCATTATGGGACCATAAAAGACAAAGTCAGTCAATTGTTTTTAAAGTGCAGTAGGTTGGCAAAGAATGTTGAGTTTCATTATATACTATGTCATGAAATGACCTAGGTTAGACAACCACTGAGAAACTGAAAGCATTGGACAGCTGTTTATTTTTAGTAACAGACTAGTCAGTAATGTCTACTTACGACCCCACTGAGGACAGAACCGAATAACGCGAATTGACTGCATTTAAAAACCTAAACGACTGAATACTGACTTAGTATCCTAAAGGTTAAAAGCGTTTACCGATGAACCTGGAGGCCCTGGGTTCGATACCCGATAAGTTTGTGGATGGTCACTGACGAGATTCTAAACTAGGACCAAGCAGTCGCCTTTTTTATTTATTTTATTTGTCGGTACAAGAGGGTACCATATATATATATATATGCGCCACAGCCGCCTGAGGAACCCTGTTTTGATAAATCTTGATGTAAAGAATATTGCCTGTAACGTATACGGCTTTGAGTTAGCCTGTTTAACTTTGGTTGTCTAATGTTACAATTCACCTTACCAAACTGAAATAGAGGAAGAAGAAATGTAGCTTACAAATTATCGGTTGAAGTCATGCGTTTTAGCTATAACCTCACGGGTTCCAGGCGTTACACCATTTGAATGCTGAAGACAATACTGTACACCAGTTGAAGTGATACCCAAACCAAATGACTCATTCAAATAAAAGTTTGAAAGTAGATATAAAAAAATTATTCAAGACGGAATTAATCCACTATCAGTATGGTACAAACGCACAGATTAACACCACAGTAAAACAAACTTGAAATTGAAGATTACTAGTGACATTTTAGTCAATGCTATTTTATAGCAACTAGCTGATTCCCCGTTTGAGATGGATAGGACATACAATGCGGAAATCATCAAGCTCCATCACGAGGTAAGCGCTAATTTGGAATCGTGAAGGGAAACAGAAAATTGGAAGAAACATACTGTGCCGGGAATCGGAAGCAGACATTAATAGAATGAATAGCAACTGGAAAGGATTGCATAGGACAGAGTTCGATGGAGAATCCTGGTAGGCAGCCTATGCGTAAGTTATATATATATATATATATATATATATACCAAGTAAACTTGGTAAGACAAAATGGAAACAATAAAATTTGCAAAAACTGTAATTACCTGACGAAAACCTTCATAATATTGAAAAGGAATTACGTGTAGTTCTTTATAAATAATGGATACTTGACCATTGCTACGTTCTTGCGTATCACATATTGAATAATGGAGAGGGGACGTTGACGATAATGAGAGAGATGCCGATGATGAATTACCAGCAGGAACTTGTTTATCATGATCTGCAATCGTAGAACCACCGGAATTTGTAGTAGCATTGTATTGGACTATATCAAAATCGATAGCGACTGGAAAAAGACATTAAATATGAATTTATGAAAAAAATTATTGTAAAAAATTGTCGAAAACTCTAAGAACTGAGATACAGCTAACTGAATTGAATTACTTGAATGAATGTCTTCACGAAATACCGACGAGGAAAATGGTTATTTAAAACCTATTCTTGGCTTGTGATGACGGGAAATGTTAGTACGGATACCTAGGCGGTTTATATAATAAACTTTGTACTTGCAGTAATTCGCACCTTGAAGTAAGCATTCCGTCCAACGAAAGGTGAATCGTGCAGGTTCTTTATATTGACGAGGTCAGGTCAAATGAATGACGACACTTGGGTCCTATGTGGGCGTTTACGTGACGCAACATAGATCGATGACGTTAGATTATAGAGTCCTAGCTAAAGAATCATGCTGTCCAATCTAACAAAAGGTTCGATCATACAAATCTCCAACGTGTAGTTAAGAGAGTGGTTTTTAGAAACCAGGAATAACCTTTCGTGAATTCAAATTGTGGTGTGTGCTACTGATGTCGAAGACATAAGTAGTATGTATCATCATTCGAAAATGGAATACATGGAAACAGAAAGTTAAGAAGATAGACGGAAAGAGAATGAAAACAGAGAATGATTAGTGTGAAAACGAATGAACAATAAAGTCTGAGACGATTGACTGATATTTTGCAAATGAAGTATTTACTGCATGATCCTCAGATTTCATCATGAGAGTGTGGCATCTTTAGGGTCGACCTGTTCTCACTCACTCCTCACGTTGTGAGGCGAGATTGTTGCACATGCCAGTCATCCGGAGAAAACACCTTCCTGCAATCACACCTCTCTACAATCAGAATTACAACATTGCCCTAGGGCCTTAAGTTGCTGCTTTTATTTATTATTTATTTAATATCACATAGGTTTTGTGGATATTATAGTAATTTCAATGGTTAAGATCATGAGTCAGTTGAAGCTAGACCACCATGGAAAACATGGAAGCACTGGACGACCGTTCCGTCCTTTTGTGTGACTCCTCAGCAGTGCGCATCCACGATATTGACCATTGAAAGAGGTATATCCTGGAGTTCTGGTGAGAAGTAGTGACCGTTGGAGTTCAACCAGGTCTGCTGTGAGATAGTAACTCACTGAATACAATGGTGGATGTGTCGCTCAATTTCGTGGATTAGTTGAAGTTAGACATTACCACCGTTGAATTCCGGCTCAGTGGTTTAGTGGTCGCGCGAGAAACCAGAAGGTCCTGGTTCCAAATCTCGCAGAGGATGAGGTCGTGGATGTGCACTGCTGGAGAGTCCCACAATAGGACGAAACAGCAGTCCAGTGCTTCCAGGTTTTCCTGTGTCGGTTCTAGTGATTAATATATTCAACAATGATAGTTTGTTGTTTGACTCCTGTTCCATTGTGAAATTGATATCATCGAAAACGTTGTTGATCAGCTTGTAAGAGTTTTCCAGCTCATTCGTTCTGACGATGACGAATGTATCGTTTACGTAGCGAATCCAAATTTTTGTCTTGAACGCTGGTAATATCGCGACTTCTAGTCTTTGCATCACTGTTTCTGTGATCAGTCTTGATATTGGTGATCCAATTGGTGTCCCTTTCGTTTGTTTGTAGATTTTATCGTTGAAATGAAAATATGTTAGACATAAGCCGATGAGTTCTAGTAAATTTTGAATTTAAAGCTTCGCGTACTTAGTGAGATTTGTGTCGTTGGTGAGGAGCAGGGATATAGTTTCTTCTGCTAACCTTAGTTCAATTGAGGTGAATAACGCTGTTACATCGAAGGATATCATCAGTTCGTCGTTGTTGATTTGAATGTTCTTATTTTGGTCCAGGAATTGTGTGTGGGATTTGATGGAGTGGTTGGATGAATTTACTAAATGTTTCAGTATTCGTGAAATTTCTTTTGACAAACTGTATGTTGGCGTTCCATGGAGTGCTACAATTGGACGTAGTAAAATGTTTGGCTTGTGCAGTCTCATGGGAACCGGCGAAAAACAATAGGTTCATACTCCATTTGTTCCCTCAGGAAACAGGAACCCATGTGCACCATTGGTTAGGAATCGGGGTTTTTTTCAACTCCCCCCCCGACCGTTGTTGCTACCATGACGTGGTGGTCGGGCTTGCCTATCGTGATGAAGCTACTAGTATTTGACCACAGATGCCTTAGAAATATTGCTGACATCTGCTGGGATCACCGGGTAAGTAATAGTGAGGTTAGACGCAGGGTATTAGGGAATGATGGTAAATCAGTTGATGAGGTTATGAATCTTCATCGACTGAGATGGTTGGGTCACGTGTTACGTATGCCTGAATACCGATTACCACGACGTGCAATGCTATCCGGTATTGGAGATGGTTGGAAGAAAGTTAGGGGCGGCCAAACCGAAACGTGGCATCAATGCTTGAAGTCACTAACTTCTAGTCTGAGCCATGTTGGTAGATGCAGACTACTTGGTTGGGGTTCGCGTGACTATCGTAACCAATGGTTGGAGACTCTTGGTGACATGGCTCAGAATCGATCACAATGGCGTCGGTGTATACACTCCCTGTCTTCCCTTAAACTAAGAGATTAAAATCACTTCATATCTTTCTTTCTACGAACTAATTCTTTCTTCTTGTACTATATCTCTATATGCAATCTTTCTCCTATATATTACCACCTTTGACCTATCCACTGCTGTGAATCCGCTGTTCATCTTGCTGTGCTAATGAGGTATGGCAACCTGGACCGATGCACATATGTGCCTGGTCCTACGTTGTAACTGACTGACTGACTGACTTTTCAACTCCCCTAGGTGAACTCTCCGTATCCACCAACCCGATTAAAGCGCCCAACATTTGATTTCCATCCTCTCAATTTAGTAAAAAAACGCACCCACCGCGTGAAGGCTACGTTTAGTCTAACCATTCTCTAAAGGATAATACGTTCCAACCAATATAGCTCGGATGAGCTGTCACGATAGGCAAGTCGACCAACACGTTAGAGTAGCAGACTCGGTTGGGCATTATGATTGTCACAGCGGTCCATATACGAAGCATAGAAATAGTCTTGAAGATATTCGGCAAAAATTGATTAAGGCAAAAGGAGATTGATTCAAGTATATAAATAGATGTTAAACTCACCTTAAAAACAAAACTAAGCTTCTAACCCACTAAAAAAGCCACATACAAAAAAATAAAATAGTCGAACGCGATAATAACCTAGAATAACCTCCATGATGAGTTTTAGTGCGAAAAAACAGGAAATTAAAATTACAAAATAATGGAATAATCAATGTGGTTTTCTATGGTTATGATATTGCTTCAAGATAATCTTACAGATGCAATTCAAGTGAAGAACGGTGTCAAACAAGGCTGTTAACTCTAATCCCTTCTCTTTCTTCGGTTGGTTGACTGGATTATGAAAACCTCAACATCTTACAGAATGCACGGAATACAAGAGACAGATTGGGTGCAACTAGACGATTTGGACTTAACAGATTACCTAGCTCTTCTGTCCCATACACCAACAAACGCTGATGAAGACAACTAGTATAGAAGCAGCCTCTGCATCAGTAGACCTCAACGTACAGAAGAGAAAGGTATGATCCATAAATAAAACACACTTGATGGAGAAACTCTGGAAGAGGTGGAAATCATCAGGTACCTGGTCACCATCAACAATGAACGAAGAGGATCGGATCTCGACGTAAAGGGCGAAAATTAGCAAAGAAAGGTAGGCATTTCTACCTTTGAAGAACATATGGGACTCAAAACAACTGTCAGTCAAGATCAAAATCAGAATTTTCAATATGAACGTCAAGACAGTTAGTTACACTGCATGGAGCTGAAACTTGGAGAACTACAACAACCACCAAAAAAATACAATTATTTGTAAACAATTGTCTACGTAACATACTCAATATCCGTTGGTCGGATACCATCAGCAACAACCTACTATGGGAGAGAACAAACCAGATTCCGACTGAAAAGGAAATTAAGAAAAGATCCTGGAAATGGATAGGACATACAGTGAAGAAATCATCGATCTGCATCACAAAGCAAGTGCTAACTTGGAATTCTGAAGGCCAAATTAAAAGCTTAAGAACAAAATATATATTGAGTTGGAAACTGGAGGCAGACATCAAAAGGATGAATGACACTTGGAGAAAACTAGAAAGGAGAACCCAGGAAAGAGTTGGTTGGATAATACTGGTCGGTAGCTTATGCTTCACGAGTAGTACGAGGCATAAGTAAGTAAACAAATAAAACAATCTCAAGTGACCATTATTGTTAAATAGAAACGTCAACTTACGTGAACGTTTACGTTTATCTTCCTTCATAAAAACTTCAATCTTTTTGAAACCAAACGGAAATTCACTAGAAAAGAATAATGAATGAGAATGGTTAAAAAAATCCTCATTAAATGGTATTTGAGATTTGAATGTTCTCCTGTAATGTGACTATTTGGAGAAACTCACAAATAATAAACTTTTGAATGATGAAAAATCTGTTCTAACGGTAAAATGTTCTCATGCTATAAGACGATATTAAGATATTACTACAACTCCATAGGCTAGAATATTGACTAGATCACATTATATCCAGATACAAAATTTACGACCATTAATTGAGAATCCGATAATGGGCCAAACAATAGTTTATTCAACGCCAATACAAGTAGTTCATATGCGATAAAACCCAGAATAAAAGTGAATAGTAGAAAGCAGTTCACGATATTGAATGGTATTTTATGGATTTGTCAAAACTGACTGTCTGTTCGTCATCGCTTACTGGTCAACCACATTCAACGTCCACTGGTTACAACAAATAAAAAAACACCTTCACGACATGATACATAAATCAAATAATAATTATCATACTGTCATCGTCACATAATAATTATTTTTCAAACAGGATCTATAACAAAGATCGTAAATTTTTTTATGAATTTATAAAATACGTCATGTAGGAAATGATAGGTATTCAGGCCATTACCAAGTTCGGCATTACTTAGAAATAACGCTTAATTTCGATACGAGAAATATGATAAATAATTTATATCATTTTGCCACAATTCTCATTCAAGCTTTTACAAACAGTAAACCAACCATAACAGATATGTACTAAACAGTTATATTTTATTCAGACTTTAGAAAGTTCACAATAAAATGAACCACATCACAATCAATGTGATTTGTAAGAGAGGCCTAGACAATCAATCACAGAAAGAATCGAAACAAATATTCAGAAATATAAACGTTAGTACATTTATCACTAATACATTATAGATAAGTGTAAAACAGAAAGGAGGTTCATTATTGATTAGGCAGCGCAAATCCAACGTTCAGCTCAGAGGACACAATACTTACAACATACTGCAACTTGAGCTACAAATATTCTGCATCATCTCAGTATAAAGTCCAATACAGATATCCTGAAACATGATTCTGACTGAAAATTACTATTACTATGTACGAATAACCACATTTTAGTTACTTATTAACCCAATCGTTATTAATAATGACGATGATGCATCATATATAGATCCTATTAATTTCGTACCATCGTACTTCCCCTAACCCAATCTATACAACTGTATTATGTAAAAGTTAGTTGCGAAATTTAGCTGAGCGGGCGAACTGTGGGTGAAAATGAGGTCGGCAATAAGTCAACTCAGAATACGAACCTTTAAATGAGCTTAAACGTAGTTCAACAGGACAATGAATAAGACAAGTGGAAAAACAGATTCATACTAACAAATTCATAGAAAATTTACAAAGACGAAAGGTCAATTGTATATGAATACATATGATATAACTAATAAGATTACAATGATCAATATAACGGTTATATCAATATTCCGTTCTATATCAGTCCACATAAGGGCTGGTAATAATCTGCTATATGAATTCACGATATGATTGTATATTTAACTTTCTTTACACCAAGAGTGCATTGAGCTGTTACACTAGCATTAACACTACAAACCACATTAGATAACCACCTTTTCTAAAACACACTAATAATTTTATCAACATTTATTAATGTAGAAAGAACAATTTATGACTTACTCTAAAAAAATAGAAACGACAGAAGACCCGGAGTAGGCACGTCCAATTTCAAATCCATCTAAATTTACGGAGTAAATTGAATCATCTCGGCGAGATTTTGATGATGACGTTGGCATTAATTTGGCATTATTGAACTAACAAAACAAAGATGGAATCGAATAAGCAGACAAACAGAAACTGAAAGTTTATGAATGAAATATAAAGTAAATATTTATTCATTGAAAACGTCAAAGGTAGCAAATAAGAACACTGAGAAAAGAACTAAATTAAATGACGGCAGATTAAGTTGTCTAGCGTTCATCTAAATACAAGATTACTCCACGCGTCTTTATGGACCACTGACTAAACAGGATGATTTATGAACCAAAAGAATTTGATTATTCTTTCCATTTTAACTCTAAATTTACTTTATTGTATAAATAGATTCGAATAATTTACTCGGAATCATAAACACAGTGACTTTTTTCACATAGATTCGTCTTCATTCAAAAACTCTTAGCAACTGTACAGATGTATACGAGATATGTAATATAAGGAACAAAGAGGTAAACAAAACAGTTATAAAAAAGGAATTCCATTCTCTGAAGCAATAGTTTACCTACAATTACAGACATCCATTATCAAACAAAACGGAATCGGGGTCTAGACCTTTTTACCACTTAGTTTTGGCCATCGAACATAGTGATGTTATTTCCTAAACTATCTTGCCACATATCAGCTCATCCTGACTAAATAGTTAAATTTCCAAGGTGAAGTATACAAATTTTCGACTAAATATTGTGTAAGTGCTAAGGTAATCACGGAATCACTCAGTTTTTGTTCAGAACGCTAGGAATGGTGACATGTAAGGTTCTTATTGGAATTAAATTTTTCGCAAAATCTTTACACTTTTCTGACTGGTCGGAATCACTCTTAATTCGCTAATCTACTCTATATGCTTGAAGGTTATGCTTTCGTTACTATATTTGCTAAGTTGTACTATTTATATTCGTTCCTGGTTAAATATCAGGTTTTTCCTATACTTCGTCTTTTTCCAGTGTTAGCGGCTAATTGCTAAATCATCGTCTACCGTTTGCCGTTATCGAGTCCGCCATAGAACCGTTCATATCAGAATAGTTCAGTCATTCCTTAATTAGCAAATACCACAGGTAAACTACAACTCCCAATAAACATGATAGCACTTGACTTAAAATTAAGATACATCTTTAAATAGAAAAAAATCACCAGCTAGTGTTTGGCAATCTGCTCTAGACATTACATGCATAGAAAACGCTTCGAATAAGTTTCACAAGACTGGTATTGTATTGCTTTCTGTGACTGACATGTTGTACAGAACTGAAATTTCATATTTAGGAAATAATTGCCTAAATAACGCAGTCTGATGGCTATTGATTGTCCTAAGCAAGTGATGATTACTTATTTGGTAATCGCATTCCGGTCTTCCAATAGCTGTTTAGCTAAGATCAGTGCGTGATTTACCTTATGAAGATTGCATAATTGTATGCAACAAGTATGAAAAGAAATGTTTTATGCATGGAAAGTGATTTGACAAAAAACATTTAGCTCTTATAGACAGGTTATAAATCTTAGTGGTCTGTGTCTGTTATATAGTACTGTGGTGTATGTAGTATGTAACACCAATCAGAAGTAGAATGCCTGGCAGCAGAAGGTTGAGAAGATTGAAATGAAGAGGAGAGAGAAAACTGAAAGCAATGAAGATAACAACAGGAACGAAGGAACTACGAAACTTGTAAGAGATAATTCGGAGATGTGCAAACGGTGTATTTGATTTATGATTTCCACATTTTACTAAACCATTGTGTGATTCTGTATTAAACAAAAATATTGTTTTTATCCACTTGAGTGTTCGTTTATTATAATACTAATTTAGAACAAATGAATTAGGGTACCAACACACTTAAAAGTTATTTGAAATACACGGATCACGGAGAGGAAATAGTTGTCTTTTTTCTCCATAAAGAGGGGTCTGTTTGTCATCGATTTATGACAAAGCAGAGTGCACAAAACCACTTAACTAACAAATGCAAGAAATATCATGTATGATTATGTCTATTTTTGTGTAAAATAACATGTGGGCAATGAAAGCAAGATATGATTGACCTGTGACCTGTGAGTGATGACGAACAGACAATCAGTTTTGACAAATCTATGTAATACCATTCAATATCGTGAACTGGTTTCTACTATTCACTTCTCTTCTAGGTTTTGTCGTGTATGAACTACTAGTATTGACGTTAAATAAACTATTGTTTGGTCCTGTTATATCCCGATGTGAATAATTAATTAATTAATTAATAATTAATTATTTCTTACATTTTTAATTATTAATGATAGTTAGGGCAAAAGGTTAAATTAGCATATTAAAAGTTGGGCTGGTGTTGTGAGTTAGGGTGATAATACTATAGGGTTTGCACTCCCAATTGACATAAGCTATAACGGAAAACAGTTAGGGTTATGTATTAGAAGTTAAACTAGAGCTACATATTAGGATTACTAATTAGAATTAGGATTTTCATCATAAAGTGACACAAGTTATGATGCAATAATGTTTTGCCGTCTTTCTGTTTACAGACTTAAGAAACATAGAACTTAGATATAGAGTTAGAAGTTAGAGTGTGAGAAAGTTGTTATACAAACAGCTTTGACTATGAATTGAATGAAACCAAGAACTTCGATACATCAAGAGCAGATATTTCTTGTGATCCCTATTTGGTTGCTTAGTAGCTAGTTTTATCAGTTTCAAGTGTTTTTTTAAGAACCAAATATTGTCAATTTTCACTTAGTTAATGAGGACCTAGCAGCTGTCCTGTAATACGCTTTTAATTTCACGCAAAGATCTACGAGGCACCATCTTGATTCTGATTGATTCATTTAAGGCCGTAAGTATGGTATACTTCTACCGAAATAACCTGACTCTGATCAAGTAGCTTTCGATATTAATCGCTTTGATGGATTTCATGTCAGCGACCAACATAAATTTATATCAATATATCCTGAATATCTATAGTTAAATAACTATTCAGCAATGAACACAACCAATTTACTGAGCATAAATACCTGAACATGCCTTTCAACCATACTGTTTAGGTGTTTGGATGAATCATGGAGCTATTTGGTTATCCAGAACTGAAGTAGGTTAAGAGGAGCTTGAGAAGAAAAGTAAGTGACTGAAAACCAACAGCTTCAATCACCAAGTCATCTTTCCTCAGGACTGATCAATGCATTATTCATAGCCATAACCATACATCATACTACTTTGCTTTCAAAATGTCAGAAAATTACTTAATTTTAACGGAAAGGAAATTACCTAAAACTGCAGTTTTTTATCATACATATTTATCATATGAATAAAAATACTAAGCACAATGAATAGATATTGATTATTCATAAGAGATGGGGAAACAAATTACCTTGATCTCAAGGTTGCGATAACATCTTAAGTTCGTTTGCCTAAGTGATACATTGTCTTCAGTTGCTGAATCGGCTTTCGTATTACGACAATGTCGTTTCAAACTCGTCACCCATCTTTGGTATACAATCTCCCAAGTGGCCGGTGGCAAATCACAATTAACAAGACAATTATTATTATTATTTTCTGATAAATTGGTCACGTTCGGATTAGTTGATGATGACAACAACGATTTATTATCTACAGAGGTTACATTTGAACGAACAGCCCAGTCACATGCAAAACGACAGCCTAAATAAATATTTTCAAAATCCAAAAATCAGGTATAATTTGTTTAAACCTATCACATATACATTCATCTGTAACTTTATACATATTACAAAAATGAAAGAATTTGGATTCATTACAGATTATAGATTAACAAGTTTGGACGATACTAAAATCTGAAACCTTAAATATTTACTCTGAATAAAACATTTCAAATAACAGCCGATAATCACAGTTACAACATAGACAAGTTATTTTAAACTCAAGGGAAATGAAAGTGAGTAAACTAAGCTCAAAACACTGAGACATTTCCTCTAAAGAGATAAGATCTATTGAAACCTATTAAGTGTGATTTTATTTATTAAATATAATGAATTCCAGAGGATTGTAAGTTCGAATCCAGATGGTATATTCTGCCACTATAAAAGTTCATTCATATCACACTTAAGGATTACTGAGGAAATTCAGTAAGGTGATGTCTCTCATGGTGGAACATGTGCGAGGTTATTTGTTATATAAAAGATTCATAATTCATGTATGAACAACTGAATAACAATACAAATATGAATATAATTGAAAGTTATTTATCTTTTCAATAAGACAGTGAAATGGTTTGAACTAAATGAGCCAACTAATTTAGAATAAAACTTGGTTAGAATTGATGACAAACAGTTGGTATACTGTTACAATAGGATAATCAGTAAAGAACACTTTTTACCGATAAAAGTGACAAATACCTGAACAAGTCTTGATTATGTTAAAGATAGTAAACTACAAAGATGATAAAATTGTCATGAAAATACATCATTACCATGCTTGACTTGAATGGATATGATGCAATTACGCTACTGAAGTGATATACTTTAACTGCTCTAGATGATCTGTTTGTAAATGACGATCATTTAGATCATTACCAATATAGTTTCAAGAGTTGAGGTTTCTTTGAGAAAAACCAATAATTTACAAACACCACTGATCACTGAGTACTACTAAAAAAAGAAAGCAATATAAAGCTATTTTGTCTTAGTATAAGACTCCTTAGCAGTGCATACTTACGACCTCATATAGGATTGAACCCAAGATGTCTTGGATTTACAGTCAGTGGCTAGTCATTTAGATGATTGTCTTTGGAATCCTTTGTACAAATTTTGAACTTCTAAAGAAATTCATTCCTGCAGCGGTAGTGAGGAGACTTGGGTGATTGAGATCACACTTGTCAGTGATGAGACAGTTGTCACCAATGATTTCAGATGTGGGTCACTGGAGGTCGTTTCATTTATGGGTGTGTACAGGGTCCCGTACAAGAATGAGAGAGATGTTCAGTACTATTCAATTTTCAACGGTATTATACATATATAAAGCTTACATGAGTGTGATAAGTTTTGAAGTGTGTACGGTGGTTCTTCAGGACGACCGGAATACGAATTATTATCTAAATCATAATTACTGAATAAATTAATTCGACTAGATATTGTTGAAGTAATAGCATTTGAATGAAATTTATTTGATGAACATGGAGCTTCTACACGTAAAACAAATTCTTCTCGATCTCCCGCTGAAGCACCATATAAAACTAAACCAAAGCAAAAATTCTTTCTGAAAAACAAACAAAATATAAAAGAAAACAATAATTAACTTACATATACTTCATGGATTGATTTGAGCTACATAACTATTGAGAAAAAATACAATAGAACCAGCGTAGACCAATAAGCGTTAAGATGCTCGATATTTATAGTCAGTTATTTGGGGCATTAGTCAAAAGGTCATAAACATGATTTACTGTAAGATAGAACTCATTATCAGTAGACTTTATAATCGATTAATCCTAGAAAGTGAGCATAGAAGAAGCTTAGATTTCTAATACACTACAAATATAGGTTATTACATAAACTATTATATCAATATGATTAGCGATGGTAATTAATTAAATGTAGATAAGCTTTTCTTCATAAATTATCATAATACAGAAACTTTTGACTCGTTTATATAAACGAACAATAAAACGTGATAATAAGGAAATAAGAAAGATTAGTTATCGAATTTACATCCTTACACAATGCTGAACATTAAACTGTTTTAATAAATAATTACATGATAAAACTTTTAGCAAAAGAAACATTTTAAACTGTACGAAAAGGTATTAGATATCACAAAAAAATGACATTGATCTATTATTCCAATTTCCAAATTCACTCTGCAGATAGTAAGTGGACGAAGTATACACTCCAGTATTTTTTGGATTATGAAGCAAACTTTAAGGAGACATATATATGCATATAGGAAAAAACGGTTTACAGTATCTGTTAGCTGTTTCGATTCATGTGAAACAGTTATCCAGTTATCACTGGTTTTCATTGACTGTTTGACTACGATTAGTTTGTGATGCAAAATATAACATTTGAAAAAATTCTCCGTAAACCCATTTGTAGTAACGGTAATAAGTTAATATGATAAAAATCGCTCTTCATCGTTTGATTTTTAATTAGCTTCCGAATAAACGTGTTTATCATGAAACATAATTGATAGAATAACGACCGTTCTCAACTATAACTATTTACTTTAAAATCATGATTGCACTCTGCAATCATTGCTTGTGTTTATTTATTTATTTGAACACATAAATATGGATATGAAGGGGCACAAAATAGATATACGCCACACAAGTCACTTGATTTGTGTGTGGGCTGTGATACTGCTCAGGTGTTTGTGTGCTAGATACTTATATAGCCTAACCTTATATTATGCGATTGTTAAATTTACTTGTACTTTTTTTCACCTTGTTGCCGAATAACAGCTAGTACAAAACCTAATAACACGGTCTCGTTCCTAATACCTGAGGTCACTTAAAACATTATTGTTAAGTGAACATAGCATCTAAACAGTTAGAACAATCAGTTCTCAACCATTGAGTTGTAAGTTTGAATACCACATGCTTTCTGTTTGTTCGAGTTCCAACGTTGAGAAGGGATTTTATAAACTGTTGAACAAAATGTGACTTGAAAGTTGAATTTTCCTATTTTTAGTAATAAAAAAGGGTGTCATATAAAAATTATTGTTAGAAAAAAATCCATGATGCAATATCTACGAATGCATCGACGACCACACACATATATAAACAGTGAACTCAAGAAAAAACGTGTTTTTAGGATAATTCATTCATTTAGAAAATACATAGTGCAAAGCGTATTAAATACGTAACTAACTTCAAGCTTACTAATCACAAGTTAACCTATTTAACGGAAATAAAGGTATTTACTATTAAGTGATAAATATTAGTTTACTCATTATAACATTTTACTGCATCAGTACATTAATTTTAGTAATAAAATATTATAGTTGATACATATTTTATGTATCTAACTGACTGTAGCGTCAATTATTCTGTTAAGCCCATATGCTTGCTTTATTCTAGCTTTCGGACAGCCCATTCTATTCATTCTACTTGAGTCACATTCTGACCCTTTTATTTATTTGGTTACCAATCTTGACTGTTTTTATATGAGCGCGTAGGTGTGTGTGTACATTTCTTATCGCATTACTCATCACATGTCTGTAACTTACTTTTGTGTAACTATAATTACTGATTAACGCTTGGTTTAATGAGAGTCGGTTTACCAGCCATCTCCACTCTGCGTTGTTTCTCTTCTCTCTATTCCATTCGCTTCATTTACAAAATATATGTATTCAAAGGCCATTATCGTTAATTGACTTATCTAAATTCCGTTAATGACCAACGTGATTTAAGTCGATGATTGTATACGAGGATAGGTGATAACAAACATTTGTACGATCTAAATGGAATCAGATCCACGGGCCACAAAATGACCAGTTGAAATAACGAAAACAATTAGACAATCATGCAACATAAAGCTAGTGACAAGAAATGGAGCTTAAAAAACTTATATAACTAAATTTTAACTGTTTCATCAATGAAGTTATCAACGAAAATCGATCTACTAGTACGAAGGTTTGTGAAGATAGTTGAATTCTGTAGTTTATATCACGAACTGACTTTAGTTGACTAAAGCTAGAAATCCAAATCAATATGTGCGAACTCAACGGTATCGAGGTTAGCGTTCATCTCTAGACCTAAAGGTCTTGGGTTTGATTCCCTGTGGAAAGATTATGGATACGTATTCCTAAGTACCATATTAGGACGAAAACGACACCCAGTGTTTACAAGTTTTCAGTGTTAAGGTAACCAATATCAGTTTATAATATAAAGTCAATGATGAAAATAGAAATGATAAAATTTAATACTTACTCATATACTGTATAATGGATAGGAAAGAAATCACATTTAGAAAGATCAAACCGTTCAGGTTTACGTTTTTCTCCATCAACCAATGTTAGTATACTTTGTTTTCTATCTAAATGTGCATAACATAATTTCCATTTCTTTCTTTGTTGTAACCCTAGTAGCCAGTTGAAAAGGTGATTTAATTTAGATTAAAATAATAACAAATATTAAATATAAGAACATGTTAGATACATTTAGATATTTTGATAATTTTTAATGAATAAGAGATGTAATAGACAAAATAACTGTTAAATAATATGTGTTAGAAACAATGAGTACTTAATAAAAGCTTTTTAATGTACTCTAAGAATAATGATTACGCTAGAATTATTGCGTCATCATGTTGAAATCCATAAGGCTGATTTAGTAATGAGTAAAGCATTTGTAATATATAAATCTACGTAACCGTGAAACATTTTTAAGTAATACAGAATGTTAAAATACGAAACATTTTGATAGTAGTGTAAAAAAACAAACAAACTAGAAACTTCATGTGATCATAAAGGTAACTATTTACAACTAACGTCAGACAGCTGTTACTAGGAAAAGCTAAAATATATGTATCGGAGCATTTCGGCAATTTCTACAAAGTTGTTGTCTTTTTTAGTTTAAAGTATTAGTACTCTTACATCAACAAATTTTTGAGCTGCACTGAACATTAAATTACTCGGCTAACTATTTCGTCTACATTAAAATGTTCACATTTATGTGGAATTAAATGAACACATCAGTATTATTCACCAACTAAATTAACTTTACCTACAACATATCTGAAGTTACTGCCAGTCCTAATAGCAGAAAAAGGAGGACTAGGTAGTGGAGTTAGCGACCGTACATCGTCAAAACGAAATCAGTTAGAGAGTTGCTAACTATGGAAAACCAACTCAACTCTGGCCTGGGAGTTGAAAAAAACTCCAAACGCAAGAGTTATGACGCCTCATGATGAGAGCCAAGATTCTCCGAAAGTAACGACGGCAACACTCATTTTAGCAGCCAGCGCAACAATAAATATAGGTACATGGAATGTCCTAACAATGTGAGAGGCTGGAAAAACCAGTCAAACATCTGTGAAAAAGGGAAGATACAATCTGATAGTTCCTGGAATAAGTGAAATTTATAGGACGTAAAATGGACAGAAAAGATTAGTTTCGGAAGAGTTGTTGTTGGACTCAGGTCATGAAGAAGAAAACCACTCACACATATAAGACGTTTCACTGATGCTCTTCCAGCAACGTACAAAAGACATTTGTGGGATGGGGAACTCATGGATCCAGGATCATCAAACCATTCTTCAAAATAAGGAAGGGAAGGATTATAACGGCCGTCATTTAGCTTTACGCACCCACCAATAGTTGATGTGAAAGCAATAGAGACCAGTTTTATGAAAGGTCGTAATCCATCACGGAGAACTATACAGAGCAAAATCTAACAATCTTGACGTGGAACCTAAACACGAAGTTCGGGATGGACAACACCAGGTACGGAAGTACCATGAGGTTGCATGAAGTAGGGAAAAGAAATAAGAATTGTGAGAGATTTGCAAATTTGTGTACTTTCAACAATATAGTTATAAGTGGGATTATTTCCTTCCCTCCCATAAATGCAAACACGCTGCATGGATTTCACTAGACCATATGAAAGAAAATAAGATAAATATATATGAAAAAAATAATAAGTTCAGAAGGTTCATGAATAACGTTAGAATTAAGTGTCCGATTTATCTTCGCTAACTGGTCAATTATAATGTACTTTCATTAGGTATAAATTAAATACATTGATAGTAAACGAACTACATGTTGTTCCAAACTCAACAGATACAACGGGGTGTTAATAATTCTTTCTAAGCCGTTTCATCCAAATACTTGTAGGTTGTTCGAATAATTCAATTAAACTTAAATGATATCTACAGAAAATATCAACTTACAAATGGACAATTCCCCATGAATTTCAGTTACCGATTGATGAGATGTTGGTGGTTGACGTGCATAACACATATCCATATAAATAGTAGACGAGGGAGGATGTACTTGAGGCTTTCAATTAATAAAAACAAAGAAATGTAACAATTAGATCCACATATACATATCCAAAATAGGGAGTAACACAGTTACAATTTCATACTACTACTCAATGTTGACTGATCAACAAGACAGACTTGTCAGGTTTTAGTGGAAACACTGACCTGTTCAGGTGTTTTACAAATTGGCATGTTCCATTATCATGACATTTTTAGCAATGAAATGTAAAGAGTGAATATTTTTTCAGTATGAAATTGATTACAGCCAAAATTATCAAAGTTGTAACAATTAATTGATTGAGACGCGAATAGACCGGCCGATACATTAAAAATATAATCTATCAAGCTATGAAGTTAGAAAATTATCTTTTTAACAATAGGCAACAGTTGTTACTACTAAGGCTAATGGAAGAGAATTTAAAACCTGTTCATTCCTAAACGTAGGTGTTTACATGAAAATCAAATTCTACATATAAGAAGACTATACAGCTTGTTTTCATTACATTCCTATTATGTACAAAATTAGATTGGTAGCTTTTACACAATCTCCGTGGAATTTTACAGCTTACATCACAGAATGACCTTCGTTAGACAACCTTTGTAAACGAGAAGATACTTCACATTTGATTCTTCCTAATATGGGGCTCCTTGGTAGTGCGCTCTCCACGGTAATATCATCTCACTAATAATTATAAAACCATATATTTAAGATCCATAATAAATGGCTAGTAGGCATGCAAAAACTATGGTACAATTATTGTACTTCATGAAGACTGATCATTCCCTCAGATGACCTATCCATAATACGGAAATGTTTATGTTAGACACTGTTGATCCCACTTAATTCATCGAATGACTACCTATTCAAAGCCATATGACGACATAACTTTATGTTCGTCTAGATAATTATAACACGTGAATGCGAATAAGCATGATAATTTTTAAGATAATTAAAGAAAGATAATGGAAAGCTGTGAAATGTTAGAGATCTACATCATTTTGTAAAATATGTGTGGACTACTAAAGTTGTCAAAAATGGTTCGATGACGACAATCATTGACATGATATACTTCCCTTTGTTGTACTTAACATGATTTTTTTATGCACTCGTACATTATTTATTTATAAACATTTTGTTGTTTTACAGACGGATTTGACCTGTCAAGAATAAAACGTACTTACGAATCATTTAGCTGGCTCACACTATTTGAATGTCATTTACTCAACGATGTCCGAATGCCTGACATCTAAATGTAGTGCACGAGATTTCGAGCCATTTAGACTAGTGACAGGATTGCCGTTTTACTCAGCGCTAAGGCCTAGACAAACGTAAGATTGTTCACTCAGTGATCAGTCGATCGCATATATCTCAGTTTTACACGAAGTCAATCATAGCCCTCAATGACAGTGTCTCAAACTGTGAAACTGTGTATCGCCGATTTTAATCCCGAATGAAGCATCGGTCCACTCAAAACTCCAGGTACGCTTTGTTGACGAGTAGCAAATAGCACAAAACACAGGTCTGTGGTTTCCTGCCAAATTTTTTTTAAACGCTTACCATGAATAAAGTATAGAAATACCTTGAAAAATGAACACTAAATTAAGACAATACAAACAAACAATATTCTTCTCAATAAACTCTTATCACGTTCTACAAACATACATTTGGATTCTCTATCAATCATTAGTCTGGACTTATAACAAGAATCTGATGGTGATTTATTAGGAAGAATATTTCGACAGTATTCTATGACAATTGACATACTGTCGCAGGATGAGATCCAGATTCACAATATTTTCTGAATACAGTCAGTCAACTACAATGTAAGATCAGGCACATATATGCATCGGTCCAAGTTGCCTCATAAGCAGGACAAGACGGTCACCAAATTCATAGAAGCAGTTACTTTAATGGTAGTAATTTGTAAAAAAAGATTGTATATGAGGAAATGATATAGCGAGAAAGAATTAGTTCGTAGAAAGAAATGTACAAAGTAATTTTAATCTCACAGTTAAAGGGAAGACAAAGGGTGTATACATATACGCTACTGTGATCGATTTTGAGCTGTCACGCAGAGTCTCCAACCACTGGTCACGATAGTCACGTGAACCCCAACCATTTACTAACGTGGCTCGGACCACACGTTAGTGACTTCGAGGACTGATGCCTAGTTTTGGTTTAGGTGACAACAACAAATGCAAAACAAGTGTATATTTGATAAGTTTGCTATCTGAGCTCTCGTTACAGGTCTTCCTGCTCGTTTGCCATAACACCAGACTAGCACTAAACTCCAACACGAACAAAAAGGAAAGTCGCGAAATATGAGTATATGTTTTACTCCAAGGTTACATTGGTACAGAAAATCGAGTGTGTTCACAGCTATTTATACGACTTGCACTTTCTAAAAACTCCCGAAAACGCACTAAATAGGGTAATTAACCAATCACAGAGTGAAACATAATCCTTCATTTATTCTGGATGTTTCTGAAACGCTTCTATTCAATGATAATCGGATAAAACGTTTAGTGTGTTTATATGGGCCTCTAGAAACTTTTGTTAAGGGAATTTATATATGGACTCCTAACATTATTATTCACTAACTTTAAAAGACACTAAAGTATTTCATACATCACACTTCTAAAGAAAAAAAATGACTAAAAACCCTTTCAATATAAACATGTTATAGCAACACACCTCTACAATTAATTTTGATTACGGTTAATTTTGTCAAGCCCTTTAATTAACTCATTTAACAGACAGTGTTATTTGGGTAGTAACAATTTGTTTATTTCTTTGTATTATATTATGATCACTATCATAGCTGTATAAACGTGTACGCTTCATCACGTGGCAGCCTACACACATAATTCTTACTCTAGCTTAAATGTTAATCCTTTAAATATCGCTCGATGGATCATCCACTTTCCCATATTCGCTTGCTCGTACGCATCAGCCTTTATGCTCGAAACCGATAGATGTGCTTGTAACTTTTTTATCTGTGCTATCAAATAATATACTAGAGTTGACGCTTCGTATTGCCTTCTGAATTCGTACAGCGTTGGGATTCATTTAATAACAGTTATCAGAGTGATCAATAAACGAAGCCTAACGAATTATCTCGAAGTCAAGCCACTACAACCTAAACACCGTAAGAACAATCGAATATTGAGCAATCATACAGCATAATTTTATTTAATAATAATAAAACCTACTTTACGCTTCCTGTAGAGAGGTTTAAATACATGTTGAACTGTTGTATTAATATTTGAACTATCTACTGATGAAATATCATTTGTTGCATTTACATTAACCTCATCATTAATTGGACAATTACATCCATCATCGGAAATATTTAAAGTGTTCAATTCTTCAGTATGATAAAGATCCCAATGATGTGATTCAATAGCTGTGATTACAGCTTCAACATTAGGAAAAGTTGTACCGCTATACAGTATTTTAGTAGTTGTACGATAAAGAGGAGATTGAAAATTTCTATTAAAATTTATAAATTCATTTGTACTATGATTATCTTCTAAATTTTTATTAGTTAAAAATATTTTATTAGATTTTCTATGAAATTCATCTGATTTATCATCTTCATTATTACTACTACATGATAATGATTCATTATTGAATTCATTTGTATGTTCATCTAACAGTTCACTATTCCTATGATCAAAATTACTATCATGATTGGTTTTCTTGGTCGGTGTAACATCATCTTGTGGTATAAGCTCCGATTGAACAATTAATTCAAGTCGACATTTACGAACACGTACTCCATCGTATAAGAGTAATGTATATAGTCCAGGACGTGAATCACAAGGGCGTAATAAATAGCTAAATGGACCAGCTGTCAAAAGAAAATGTAGTACATAAAATTTATGATGTTTAGTTCTGATAAAATGTTACTACATAATCAAGAAACAGAGATATCACCTTCATAAAAGACTCAAAATAAAACTACAGTGCTATTCATCTGGCTGCCCAAACAGAATTAAATGGAACCAAAGTTAAAAACATTCAGAATTTTTTTCCACTAGTGAATATACCTATATGATGATAAATTAAGACCAGCAATTCTTATTTTGCATTCCCTGTGCAAATAATTCTTGTTTGAACAGGTCTAATAACTAAGTCTCGTTGTTAATTCTATCAACCAAATGTACTCATTCTTGAATGGGCAATTACTTTTTATGTTTGTGTATGCCAGAATGTATGTATGAAGTACTGATATTGTGTAAAATCTATGAATATAAACCATTTGAGATTATTTAGCCATTTCGAGGACATGTCAGCTTACTATTTCACTGATTTACGTTCAATGTCGATCTCCATAAATCAATATATGAGATACACTTACCTGGACGACTTTCTCCTACTCGACGTTCACAATTATGATGTTATTATCAGAAGGGGTTTGTGGAGATTTTAGAAATTTTCACAGATTTAAATCATGAGTCAGTTGAAGCTAGACCACCATTGAAAACCTGGAAGCACTGGACGGACGTTTCGTCCTGGTATGGGACTCCTCAGCAGTGCGCATCCATGATTCCACACCACGCGGGGCTCGAACCCAGGACCTACTGGCTTCGCGCGCGAGCACTTAACCATTAGACCACTGAGCCGGCATCCAACGGTGTTAATGTCTAACTTCAACCAATCCACGAAGTTGCGCCACCATATACCATTGTCTTCAGTGAGCTGATATCTCACAACAGACCTGGTTGAACTCCACTGGTAACGGCTTCAATGGTGGTCTAGCTTCAACTGACTCATGATTTAAATCTATGATGTTATTACCCAGAACGGTAGAAAGAATATTAAACGAAGTTATCATATGGATTTCATATTTCGCATATATTCATTGATGGTTATGAGACAACTAATCTAAATAAATTTAGGTTACAGGATGTGAGAACAACGATTTGAAGACATTGAATTCTACCCTCTATGTTCAAAAGTTGCTACATAGTTATAAAGTAATACGGAGCAACTTCGTTAGTAACCCTTCTGGGGTTACTGCCAGTGTCCCAACCCCATGTGAAAGGGGAGAGCTGGACATGGGGTCAGCGACCCCATCTCGTAAGAAACAACCTTGCTAAAAATATCTAACCAGAATGAGCACATTAAAGCATTTAAACTCTTTCCTCCGAGATGAAGGATTTGCATTCAGAAGAGTTATGAAGCCTCATGGAGAGAGATGAGATTCTTCGGAAGTCACGAGACCGATGCTCCCTCTAACAACAATTATTATTCTTAGTATATGGAATGTTCGGGCAATGTGGGGAACCGATGGGACCAATCTAATAGCTACGGAAATGAGGAGATACAACATGGTCGTGCTTCGAATCATTGAAACCCATTGGAACCAAACTGGACAAAAAAGGATAGATTCGGGAAAGATGATGCTGCACTCCGAGCACGAGGAAGGAAATGCTCCACACACTCAGGGAATCGCTCTGATGCTGTACAAGTAAGTAGGTAGAACACTTATAGAATAGGAGTCTCATGAACCCAGAATCATCAAAACATCCTTCAAAACAAACAAGGAAGAAATCACAACGAATGTTATCCAGTGCTGTGCATCCAACAATGATAGCAACGATGACAATAAAGATAAGTTTTATGAGAGGCTGCAATCAATCGTAGTGAAGTGTTCAGGAAACGAGCTGACAATCTCTGATGGGGGACTTAAACACCCAAGTCGGAATGGACAACATTGGATATGAAGATATCATGGGACGATATGGACTAGGAGAAAGGAACGAGAATGGTGACAGATTTTCAAATTTATGTCCATTTAGTAAATTGGTTATAGGAGACACAATATCCCCACACAGACGAAAACACAGAGCTACATAGGTCGCATCAGATCAAACTACAGGGAATTATATCGATCATATTTGCATCACTAAAAAACTCAGTGTTGTGACTTTAAACTTGGATCGATTTTTACCCCGTGCCAATTGTTGTGTCCTTGACTGAAAGATTAGAGAGCAGCGTATTATAGATCGATTCAGTGACACGTAAACCAAGTACGGACGGCCTAGAGTCTCAATTGGTCCCGCTTCCCTGTCTAGCCCAGCCAGTTGAGACCAGAACGACATACTCTATTTATATACCAATCAACCAGACCACATCGTACCATAAAATAAAAAATAACATTGTACAATACTGACAAGTAGGAAAACGACACGTGAAGTAAATATTGACCAATAAGAAAATAACACCATTTGAAGTCCAAAGATAGCGTTAGACTTAACAGAATAATTTTTGGGATATTTTTCTGAATATACCAACACTCAGGTCAATGAAAGCGTGAGAACTAGGAGAGGAGTAGACACAGCTTCAGATCACCACCTGTTGTTTTCCAAGACGAAACTGAAACCAAGGGAGAGCTGAACAACTGGAGAAACAGTATTACAAAAGTCCAATAAAGCCTTCCTACGAGATACCAACAAACTCAACGAATTCAAGATAGCTCTTAACAACAGGTTTCAAGACTTACAAGATCTACTCAAGGAAGAAGAAACTACCATGAAAAACAACTGGAAAGGGATAAAAGAAACATTAAGTTCAACGTTTCAGAAGGTTCAGAGTCTCAAGAAGCATCATCATAAAGAATGGATCTCTATTAACACCCATGGCATATTCAAGAAAGGAAGAACAAGACAACAATTAATAACAGTCGAACAAGGACAGAGAAAGTCAAGACACAAGCTGAATACACTGAAGCAAACAAGCAGCTGAAGAGGAGTGTTAGAGCCGACGAGCAGAAATACGTAGAAGAGCTAGCAGCAACAGCGGAAAAAGCTACAACAGAAGGAAATATGAGACAACTATATGACACAATGAAGAAACTATCAGGGAAATATAGTAAACCAGAGAGACCGGAAAAGGACAAACAAGGCAAGACAATCACCGAGATTCAAGAACAGAGGAACAGATGGGTGGAATACCTCGAGGAATTCTAGAATAGACCAGCTCCATTAAATCCACCGAATATTGAGGTAGCACATACAGGTTTTCCTATATATGTCACTCTACCAACGGTCAAAGAAATCAGGATGGCCATCAGACAAATCAAGAGCGGGAAATCAGCAGGACCTGACATTACACCAGATAAAGCTCTGAAGTCAGACATAGAAGCAACTGTAAACATGCTTCACGTTCCATTCAGGAAGATTTGGGAGGAAGAACAGGTGCCGATGGACTGGAAAGAAGGACATCCCATCAAGATACCAAAGAAAGCAGACCTAAGCAAGTGTGATGACAAAGAAGGCAACACGCACACATGGTGGATGCAGCTAGACGATTTGGACTTCGCAGATGACTGAGATCTTCTATCCAATACACAGAAAAAAATACAGATGAAGACAGTCAATGTGGCAACAACTGAGATGTGATACACGATTATAAGGCTGACCATCATATACAGTGCTACCAATTGTGAAGTCAGTAATTTGGGAAAACTGGACAGATGATTATCTTTAGTTCGAGGTTTTGATTGGTAATGTACACTAATAATACATCCCGGGATTATTCGAAAATTAACTTATTTACTAGGTACTTAGGCATGAGTCAAACTTTAAGCGTGAGGACCAATGGTAATGTGGCGTATGCTACTTATGTCTGTCGACGTAAGTAGTATGTAACACCAATCGGAAGTGGAAAACCTGGCAGCAGAAGACCACATAGGTTGACTTGAAGAGAACAGGAACGGAATTCGAAAGGAATTTTGAATAGGAAGAATCATACAGAAAGTGAAAGACAAATGATGTAAATTTGCAACTGAAGTATTTAATGTATAGTTCTCATATTTTACCAAGATACTGTGTAATTTTGCATCAAAATACACTAATTGTCTCCACCTTTGTTGTCGTTCATTACAATACTACCCGGTTGCTTAAATTGAAGTAGATGGAGAGGAGTTCAAGCCTGGTACTTAGTGGTTGAAAGTCGAACACCCTAACCAATAAGCCACAGCCAGGATTATAGTGATGAAAAATCAGTTAAATTGTTAAGGAAAAAATGAAAAGAACTAAGTTTATGATGAGGTTTCATATCAACTGATAATCTTGGCTCCTTTTTTAGACAACTGGAGAGAAAATGAAGAAATCAGTTGGATTCTTTTCATCGACTCTAGCATGCATGTTAAATAGTCAGAAGCTATGAAGTTCATCGAAGCGTCAGCAATTGACTGGATAAAAAAATGTACTGTTATTCATCCCTTGATTTATCAAAGCTCTAATAAAATGAAATAGTTTTTCTGATGTATTTTTGCTTGGTTTAATAGTAATTCACACAGTGAAATAATGTTAAATGAAAAGCTCTTGAAAAAGAAAAACCCTGGACAATATTTTTGTTCTAATTTGACATTTATTTAGCTATGAGCACGAACAACTTTACACTGGACTAAATCTAGGCAAATTCAAATTTAACGATATGTATCATATTTCTAAGCACTCAAGTGAAAATTCAATGATGCATTTAGAGTAATCTATATTTACCATAAATTTTACACTGTACACAATGAGAAACGAGTGATTAGACCAAAATTTATTTATTAAAAGTAGTGCTTAGTTCGGTGTTATAAAAATAGACGAATTTCATGCATACATATATATGTGTATATACGCAAATACATAATATAGATTTTCAATACTACTGATGTTAAACACTCGCTACAAATATTAAAAATACTCAGATCAACAAACTAAAAGGATAACAGAAGTAAAAGAAGGACTATATAGGAAAAATAAAACAATTTTCATACGTAATCTAACCTTTCTTGAGTAACTCTTTAGGATGAGGTGTTGGATCAGGGTGGAAGAAGTCTAAACGTTCAATAATCTCTGGATATTCTTTCTAAAAATTTAAAAGCCTAGTATTAAATAGACACCCTGAATATAGTATTTAAAATATTAGAAATAGTTCAATAAGATGCATGATACATTTTAACTTGATTTAAACATGCAGAAACCATTTACTGGTGGTTCATCTGAATATACAATCATAATAATATCAAGTTTATTTGCTTAATTAGGCTTTTAACTGAAGATCTTTTTGTGATTTCACTCGTACTTTATGAAGGAGACAGGTTTCAAAGAACTTAACTCAAAAATATATAAATATTAATGGCCAAGGTTCCCAGCTCAGGTGAATACTTTTGATGGTGTCATATTATCTGAGTTGAATCACGTCTAATTCATATATAACTTAGTGCTAGAGCACATCGTAGAATCAGCTAGGTGTCTTTGGAATGTAACCTTGAAAAATCGAACACAAAAACAGTGAATTTAACCACTTTCGAACCATTTGTTAGACTCTGTGGTTACACTCACTTAAGTCAGATAAACCTTTTGATGTCTTACACATAAATGTTTAATTCTAAAGCTTGAATTAGGGTGAAATCTTAAACTTTAGATAAATAAAACACCAACCATTTATGGTTAGTAACTGTACGCTAAATATACCGAGTCTACCTTTATTTTGCTCGATAATGAAACCACAATGATGTACCATACAGTTATATTTTATTACATTTCCAGTTATACTAATAAAATCGTTACAATGAGAAACGTGAACTGATGGCTGATGTAAGTGGAGGTTGGAAGAAACGTAGGGGTTGACAAACCGAGACATATCATTAGTCTATGAAGACATTGACTGTTGAACTGAACCCGGTAGGTAAGTACAGACTACCTGGTTGGGGTCAGCCTGATTATCGTAACCGATGACTAGAGACTGTGAATGAAATGGCTCAAAATCGTTCGCGATACTGTATGGGTGCACTTAATATTTGTCTTCCTTTAGATTCGAAGTTCTTAATTCCTCGTAAATTTTTTTCTATTATTTCACTGATTCATAGTTTTTAGAATTGCATTATAGATGCCTAATCTCTTATGTGACTACTAATCCTGTTAATACATCTACTACAGTTTAACAATGGGACATGGCAACTTGAACCAAAATATGGCCCCCAAATACCCTGGTACGGCCAAGGGTAAGGAGAGTCCACTTCGCCTCAAAGCGCTCTCACATGACCTCGCGTATACAGTTACCAACAAGGAAGTCCTACTCACTGCTTTCTAGCGGAAGGGGTGTTGTTAACGAAGTCGAGAGAGCGAAAAGCGAATGTTCGGCGCTCAAACAGGGTTAACAGGTCCAGAGGATCCACCTAGTTGAAAAAAACGTGACTCTAAACCAGTGGGCTACAGGGCCCTAAGAGAACAAAGGGCGTATATACCTATTCCTAGTCGCCGGTTGCCATGAGGTCGCATCTCCCAACGTCGCTCCACTGCTTTATAGATTAGACCTCAAGGTCAAAGACTCGGTAATTGGCCGCCTAAGAAAACCACCTACTTCGGTTTAAGCACCCAGGGAGTATCCCAACTAACACACAGATTCGATTATTTGTGTGGCGCATACATATTCGGTGCCTACTTGTACCAATGTTTATGTGTCTAAAAAAATGAATAAAATAGAATCAATATATACATGTCCCAAATTCTACGTTATGTTTGACCGATTGACTGTATATGTTTTTTACATTATGTATTAAAGACTATATTATTTTGAACACAAGGAATAAAAAGATTGTAATAGAAGGTATACAACCATTTAAAAAATTTATTGGCATTTAAATATCCCACGAAAGGTATCAAATAAAAGTAAAACTTACCTCAACACATGATTTCGGTAAATAACCTGAGTGACGAGATTTCAAAGAAGTAGCAAGGATCCAATCGGAATTTGGATCTTCATAGATTAGTAAGAAACGATCATTAACGACACATCTATAAGATATAAATATCGAAACAATCAACCAAACTCTCAATCATGAGAAAACAATACTTTGAGGAAGTGTACGCATTGTACTAAACAAATTACAATAGATCACTAATATCTTGGAAAAACATAGACACACGTCAATATGAACTTTGATCACGAACAGTGTTGATACGAGTATAATCCTTTTTACAGGTGTAAACTTCTGGTGGACCAGGAAAAATTATATATGTGCTCAGTAATAACAAAATTCGTGTGTTAACAGTCAGTAGCTTAATACTCAGACATCACGACAGTGTTATTGTATAAAAAGCAATCGATAAAAAAATTAGGAAAACACTGGAAAAAATACCGAAAAATCTATCTGCCTTGGGAAATATTCTTCATTGGAAAACCCTACTTACTTACCCCAGACGATCGTATCCATTTTCTGGTTCAAAATCTTGTACAGCCCGTAAACGTTGAGTATGATATTCAATTGGGAGCTGAAGTTGAATTTTTAGAGACACATTTGACAAATACACAGTAAAAATATGAAACACGGTAGTAAATTTAAAACTGAACATGCACATAAATCCAAAAATGATAATAAAACAATAAATATAGCTGTGTATTCATCAATTCAACCACTTCTGTGGGCCACTTAGATGGAGTATACGATTCAGCAAATCAGCCATCGTACTACCATTTGGTCTGATTGACAAAAGGACATTCAAAGGTGATTAAGAATTCTATTCTCGCTAAATTTGCCGAAATCTACAAATAAAAGTCTAACCTATCTACCTAACAGAAGTTTATACAACTTATCTCCCTACCTTGCCCCCAAATGCCCTGGTACGGTCGAGAGTGGGGAGATTCCGCTCTCCCTCTCGAAATGCTTTCACATGGCCACGCGTATATAGCCCCTGCCAGGGAAGTCCTACTCACAGCCTTCTCATGGCGGGGGTGTTCTTTAAGAAAATGGGAAGATGAAAAGCAAATGTCCGGCGCTTTAACCGGATCCCAAACCAATGGTGCACATGGGATCCAGTATCCTGCGGGAACAAATGGCGTATGGTCACCGGCTTCCATGGGACTGCATCTCCTTACGCTGCTCCGCTGCCTTGTGGATCGGACCTTCAGATCGAAGGCTCGGGGAGTGGCCCCCTACGAAAACCACCCACTTCGGTTTGGGCACCCGGGCAGTCTCACAGCTCTCACACATATCGGATGAGATTTGTGTGGCGAATATGTAATCGGTGCCTCCTTGTACCAATATCTATGTGTTAAAAGAAATAAATAAATAAAATTATCTCCCTACCTTGGTCATCGGTCGTACAAGAGAATGTTGTAAGATAACTCTGATTTACTTCACTATTCTAAAACACTTTCAGATTTTTTCCCACCTTAGTGTTTTTACGTAATTTTAGTATGTGTCTTTAGTTTTACGGAACTATCATTAAACTAACTTTCCAAAAAAAATATTTTATTAATTTTTGTATTATACATTATAAAATTTCCTAAACGTTGAACTAAATGTTTTCAATCTTCACAAATAATTGTTTTTATTATTATCCTTCGTTTCCAATTACCTATTTAATCATTCAACATTATTTTCATAATCACTGATGAAATCGTACAATCACTATGTATCAGTACTAGTCGACTGATGTCATTTTGATTTCAACCCATATATATTAGTGTAAAGCCATGATCAAAAACTAATTGAAAAGAGAGATATTTAAGCATTCTGTTCTTGTTTTACTAAATATAGCTGTAAGATTGATAACAGTTAAATGTCTCATGAAATAAAGAATAAAATGCAAACTGTAATTGTCACTTAGCATTTACTTTCATGATTGAGTGTGATTTGTAAAATTTAGAGCTGCTCTTCGATGCTCTTATTAGACATTGATTAAAGATTTATTCCAAACTTTTTTTAAAATACAAAAACCTCAAAGTTATTGAAATTATGTATAGAAATACCAAAACATTTTATTGTGACACGTTCTCTAAATAAAATATTGACTTGAAAAAGCTTGCTTATTATACGAGTTCAGTCAATAAGCCCTTGATTTTCTTTATTCAATAGCTTATAATTTCAATTCAGTTCAGTGACCAGTGTGTAACGACATTATCACTTATTCGCTTCAGACAGACATATAAACAGTACAAGACTCGAAACAAATATATTTTAATCCAGATTTTTATACCTACTATCAGCAAGCTGAGAAGGTTAACGAAGCTAGAAGAAAATAATAACTGGTAATGCGGTAGAAAATTAAGTATAAGAAGAATGAAGTGAAGAATGGGGATGGAAACTACAGAATTATAAGTATGTTGAAGGTTTACAAGGACAATTTAAATGAATAGATCTGTTCCAACGGGATAGATCCTGAAATATGTCACTAAAGTCTCTGACTGTCACTTGAGTGCTATTAGAAGCATGAGAGCGGTGATCACTTTACAGTTGCCAACACTGAGGAAGAATTCTCCTAGAGGGGCCTAAAAAGTAAATGGGGTTAGAGTTGGTCCTAGTGACCTGAGAGCGCAACCGCAGAGCCCAAGAAACAACTGCTTGCGACCAATCACATACGACCATTTTGTGGATCATTTTTGTGTTAGCTCCGTACTTATTAAGACCTTACAGACGGAAACGGAAATCCGTGGTATAAGGTGTGCATTTTTTTGGCCGACCTTTTCTAACTTCACTCCTTCTTTCTGAAAAGGCGGAATCGCCGTCATACTGGTTGTCTGAAAGAAAAACCTTACTGCCATCACCCCGCTGAACGGTCAGCAGTACGACTTCCTTTTTGGACCTTGGGTTTTCAGCTTTTATTCTTACCGTCCTTTAACCAACCTGCCTGGCATGGTAAGACCTTGAGGAACGATTGTTCCAGCCAATATAACCCGACTGGTTCATAATGATAGGCAAGGCCGGACACCAAGTCAAGGTAACAACAACGGTCGTGTTTACGAACTCAAAATATGGTGTAATATATTGTTTAAATACACTTCATTGAGGGTCCTATCTTAACTTAAAGATGACAGCTATCCAGCTAAAACCAACTACATAGCGAATGTCTGAGGTTTCAACGCCGAAGTATTTTTCATGTTCATTAAACTTAGTAACTACGTAAGGAAATATGTACTCACCTTTGAGCAGGTTTGTGAGAAATATTGATTCGACTTGAAAGCCTAAACAGATCATAAATAAAGTGAGGTGACAAGACAAGAAAACTTATCTCATGACTTGATTGTTATATGCTACACAAAACATTTCCGATATTTGACATCGTGTAGACGGTTATTTAGTTGATTTGATCTGTAATGCTTTGTAATATCTCTTTGATAATATTTTTGCTTGATTTTGATCAGTCTTCGTTTGGACATACGTATCATAGGTGGATAGCGTTGATATATCCATTATGGCGCAAGTCTATATAGAGGGGGTGAAATGTTGCTAGCATACAGACAAATCCAAGTGACGAGTTCCAGATAGAACGAAATGCAAATCGTAGGTTCTAATGCTAGTCAAATTCCATCTATCCGATAGATTACATAAGTAGTTTTTCCCACCAGTATCCAGGTATAGTTAAAACAGTTAGCGATTGAGTTATTAACTAGTTGTGGTTGGCGAATCCCAAACTATTTATTTATTTGAACACGAATATTTGTACAAAGGGGCAACAAATACATATGCGCCACGCAATAACAAAGAGAATGTGAAGAGATAGATAATATAAAGCGAGTATAAGAAAAAGGAGAACAATAATGAACAGAAATTAGTGTATGGTAGTGAAATAATAATAATGGTGGAGATTTGTAGCTCAGGTGGATGATTTTGGTGGAGTTTTGTTCTCTGGGCTGGATGGTTTGGTCGACCAAACCATCCAGCCCAGAGAACAAAACTCCACCAAAATAATAATAATAATAATAATAATAATAATAATAATAATAATAATAATAATAATAATAATAATGGGGGAGGCATTTCAGTTAGCAAATGTACAGCCAGAAAGAATTCTTCCACTTAAATTAAGTTACGTTCATTTTTATGAAGAAAGTAAAAGGTTACAGCAGGATCGCCGCTGGCTTCTCTTCCGAGTCATATCTGATAACGTTTCTAGCCACTATGTTGCACAATCTCTCGGACTTATTTATTTGAACACATAAATATTGATACAACGGGGCACCAGATATATATGCGCTACATCTCTCAGACCCCAGCCAGGTAGTCGTGAAGGACTAACAGACGCCAGCCCTTTGCAGCTTTCCTTCATACCACGACACCATGTCATACACTGACCACCCCTCCGCTTTTTCCAACCAGTCCCAGAGTCGGCAAGTAATGCACGACGTAGAATTCTCTGGGACGACATTCGAAGAACATGTTCAAGCCACTGAAGTCGATGTTTCAAGATGGTGACACCAATTGCATTATCATCTCTGCGCCCGAACACACGACGCCGAACCTCTGCATTACTAACATGGTGTTGCCACCATATGTCAGCAATCCTTCGGAGACAACGATGATCAAACACAGAGAGTCGTCCAACATCCTCAAGTCGGAGAGGCCAGGTTTCACAAGCATAGAGTAAAACTGCTCTCACCGACGCGTTATAGACCCGACCTTTTGCAGCCAGACTAACATCACGAAGGCGCCAAAGATGGTCCAGATTGGCATAAGCCGCTCTGGCTTTCACTATTCGTGCATTGATCTCATCACTCACGCCACCACCAGCACTTATGCAGCTACCCAGATACACGAACTTCTCGACTACTTCTATCTGCTCACCATCCAGGGTGAGTACACGATTAGAATCCTCCCAGTCTTGTAGAAGTACTTTGCACTTCGAAGGTGCAAAGCACATGTCATACTTACGGAGATTGACTGCCAACTGATCAATATCATCCGCATACTCAAGGTCGAGAAGTCTTTCTCCAGGCAACAGATCCACACCACCATTAACTACGTCCATCAGAGCTGTTTCCAGAACGTTATCGATAGCGAAATCGGAGAGGAATGGTGAGATTGAGCAACCATGTCTGACCCCACTGCTTGAATTGAATAATAAAAAAGTGGTGGTCGTTTTTTGGCCCTGAATCTAACTCCAATTAGATAGTGCGAATGATTGCTGTCGAAATATATACTTCGCCAATCCTCGTATATAATCATTGACTTGAATCGCGTTAGTGAATAACGGAATTAAATAAGTCAAATACGAGAACGGATTTTTGAATACATATATTTTTATACTCATTGATTTGAACAGACAATCAGAGGGACGGAGCGAAGAGAGCGAATGAAACGATGTACGGTGGAGGCGCGTGAGCCAACTCAATTTAATCAAGCGTTAATCGATGTTTATAGTCAGATAAAAATAAGTTACAGACATGTGATGAGTAATATAAGAAATGAACACACATACGCTTACACTCAAAATTGATAAGCGAATAATTAACAGGGTCAAAACGTGACTCGAGAAGAATGAATAGATTGGCCTATCCAGAAGCTAAAATGAGCCATTTGGGATTAACGTAGCACTACAGTGGCATGCCCTCACTCTGCCTGAGGTACTTGTGTATAGGGCTTTTAAGAAGTTAATAAACTTCTCAGGCACACGCTTCTTCAATAGACAACCCCAGAGAACAGTCCTGTCCAACGAATCGAAGGCAACCCCAATGTCGAGAAACACTACGATTGTTTGCCTTTGATAAGTATGACTGTGTTCTAACATTTGGCGGAGGGTGAAGATATGATCAATACATCCGTGACCGGAACGAAAACCAGCCTGCTCCACGCGAGTCAATCTCGGGTTTTGAACAACCTACGAAGTATGACGGAAGCCAATAGTTTGGACGCAGTCGGAAGTAGACATATCCCCCGATAGTTGTTACAGGAACGACGTGAACCCTTTTTAAACGTAGGGACAACTATCGACTCATTCAATCATGTTCGAACACTAATTGCCAAACCTTTATGAACAACTTAAACAGTTCCTTAATCAAAAAGTCACCACCATCCTTAAAAAGGGCCGGATGAAAGTCGTCTGGGCCTGGTGATTTGTAGCACTTCAAGAGTTGAAGTTCCCTATCGATTTCTGCTTCGTTAAGTGGATCAGTCGTCACAGGCCATGGGGAGCACGACAATCTGACTGGTGTTGTCAGAACAGCAGATCAGTTAAACCGCTCCTCAAGAAAATCTGCTCATCGTCCTAGACGTCAACAGATGTTAATGATTGATCTCCCGTCATCTTCGCAGATTTTTTCACTCACACCAGACATTTTGCTGTCTGTGGCTCGGATGAGTTGAAAGAGCTTCCGGCAGTTACCAAATGCAGCTGTTTCTTTCAACATATTAGCACGCTCCGACCACCAGGCTTCTCTATCCTTAGACAAGCTTTGCCCAATTTCATTACGTAACAGTCTTCGTTTGTGGTCAAACTCGCGGTCATCTGGAGTAGACAGACGAACTTCAATGAGTTGTAAGAAGACTGAAGAAACTCAGTGCTTATAAGCGGGACGTTTCGCGAATCCACAAGTGACTTTACTCACCATTTTCATTGCGCCATGCAATCGCAACCAATGCTCATCTATACTTATCGGTAGGATGGTAGCTAACTTTAAACCTAGCTCGATTAGATATTTAGTTGCAACAGAAGCTGCAACCAAGCATTATACTATCCAAGGATCTCTGTCTACCATCTCTATCATAATACATAACTTCCGATGATAATCTGCTAGTAAAGTATAACAAATGTTATATAATAAAACAGATTTGGACAAAGACTTACGCTTGTAGGTGGGATGGGATGTTTAAGTCGCTCTCCTGTCATTATGTCACGAGTGTAATACCTTGACAAACATCCGTCTAAGCTATCGAAGAATCTCCCACCAATTTGAAAACAATTAAAACGAGGAATAAGTCTAAATAAAACTAAACTTATTAGTAACTTAAGCTCACCTGAAATGAAAACAAGCAAAGGTTGAAGAGAGGTATGAGAGAACGTAAATATCCTCCCATGTATCACCGCCGTGTGCTGCACGACTGAGACGAAGAAGATAACTGTTCGCTATCCCAAAACTCTGTAAACGCTTTTCCGCCTCAGCTCGATCAATGTAGCCATGATAATACCTAAAACAAGACCTCGAAAATGCGGTCAATCAATCTACGTGTAGATCTAGTGCGATAACAAATTTATGAGGTGAAACTCGCTAGAACGTCGTTGATAAGTACGGGAACCGTCGTTGGACACATTAGGGAGCGATTAAGGCATTAGAAAACCTATATATCAGACTAGAATACACTAAGCCAGTACTTTCACTGTTTGCGTATACGTAAGACTTTTAGAATGAAACTAAGTGACATGAAAGCCGTATCATATACTTCAGTCAAGAAGTAAAACAACTTGGGATTTATAGACCCTATTGTATATTGGCCGACAAGATCGTGTACTACATACTTCTAACCACTAGTTCTAATGAGCTACAGCATTTCATTACAGTTAACTAATCCCTTCTGGTGCTACATTGATGTTCGAACCCTGCAGTAACTACTTTGGGTGGATAACAACAACCCATCACCGTAGCAATCACGGGAACATTAGTGCATCATTTTCAGGCTCTGTTCGTATAAGAGAGAGCTTGACTTTGCAAACCATATTGGTTGTTCGTGCTCACCTGTCAGTTTCTAATGAGACTCCACTTTATAGCCACAGGTAGAAAAAGTTTTAAGTCCATAACTTGGCATTATTTGAAACGAAATTACTTGAAATGCTGAGCATTCAAAATATACTTCCACTATTAAAGATGCTACTGGTTGCTTGGAATTAGAAAATAGTAGATCGTTGGGTTACCGTTAATGTTATTTACCTTCGGTTAAACAAAACATCTATTTAAAACCTTAACTAAAGTACTTTGATACAGACCAAGAATGTTTTCGAATGTAATAAATACCAAAAAAGGCAAGAAAACTCAATGGAATATCACTTTAACTGTAGTAGATTCAATTAAAGTGTAAATCGTAGTTTTGATACGTAATTTACGATCAAAACAGTTAACTAATTCAACGAGAAACAATACCACTGTCCTTTTAGATAGCGCGCGTAATGATAGCTCATTGGTGGCATGGTTAGACAGGTGGTCACTAGAAGTAAATCCTAATAAGAGTGTAGTGATGCAGTTAAATAACTCTGATGAATAGTATGACTATACACTACGTGGATTCGTGCTACCCAAAGCAAGAAACTATAAAAACTTAGGAGTTATAATAAGCAATGATCTCAAAACGACTAGTCACTGTAAGGCTGCTGCTGCAAAAGGCTATAGGGTATTATGGTCAATTCGTAGGTCTTTTCAGTATTTAGATGATGAAATGTTTGGATTACTATACCCGATTTATGTGCGACCACATTTAGAATACGGGATTCAAGCAGCGAGTCCTTGTTTCAAATATGAAGCAGATATGCTAGAAAGAGTCCAACGACGAGCTACTAAGATGGTACAAGGTCTAGCTGGCCTATCTTATGAAGACAGACTGAGACACCTTAACTTATTTCCGTTATCTTACCGTAGAGTACGGGGTGATCTAATATTGGCTTATCGTATACTGAACGATGACCTTGGTATTAACATGTCTTATCTTTTGCTTCCGTCTAGAACCGATCATTTGAGAGGACATTCGAAGAAAGTTCAAAAACCGAGATCAAACCGTTTACGTCTGGAGTTCCGTTTCTCGCACCGAGTAGTGAATTACGGGAATTCTCTACCGGAACACGTTATATCAGCACCGTCTGTTATTATATTCAAAACGAGGTTGGACCTCCACAGTATTACAAACTGCAAGGATTAATATAGGTCGATAGACCTATCCTTATTACTGAAGACTGAAGACTACAACATAACTCAAGGCATTTCTATAGAAACCTCCCATTTCCGTGGTCAGCACAGCTGAGTGGACAATAGGAAAGAAGCACTATACGTAAAATTTACAGGGTAAATAAGTGCGTCTTATTTAAGAATTAAATTAGAAATCGGTAGTGTCACTGATATTTAGCTTTATATTTTGCAAGTAAACAACTCTTATTACTTTCGAGATAAAAAAGGACCAGATCAAACATATATCAGCTCACTGTTCCAGAGATGGTAAGTCTGTAATGACAGAAGGATCTCCAACTGTTGACTCCGGCATTGCAAATGATTTGCACAGTGGTTAACCTTCAAAGCGTAATTCCCACTCGTTTCCCAAGGTGATTCTCTTGTAAAAACAAACACTCAGTCCATTTTGTATCGTTTTAGTAAAAAACCTGACCCTAACGTTTTTACATTTTCAGAAAATAGCAAACGTTTGAGCATTTCGGCTCTATTTTCGAAGCAATAAGGCTCAGTATCTGTTTAATTTAGATTTGATTTACATTTGTGCATTCAGTATCTACAGACTGCATAAACCAAGTTTCTGTGACTGTAATTACATCCGGCTTGGTGGAGTCTATCTGAACACCCATATCCGATCGTTTAATGAGTAAGCTCTAGGCATTTTTGTAACAGATCCAGAGCCTATTTAAGTGGAGTACAGCTGCACACATGATAACTTCAGTATCATTCTCTGTCGAGGCCTCACAACCCTATAATTTATAATTTTGAGGTTTCTCTCGCAGGTGTCTAGCCTGGGTTTGGTTCTTTTTTGGCTTCTCGTGTCTCTACATGTTCCACAAGCAGCAAGTGTTTACGGACGAAAATTCCTGACCAATTTAGCTTATACCTATTCTGTCGTATTAGGACCCATTTATTGAGAGATTCAAACATTACTTTGAGCAGCATTGTTTGATTCTGTTTTAGGTTAACTTGGCTTCCTAATCTTTACACCTTTAACAAGCTGACGTCGGAGATATTATGAGGCGTTAGCTGGTTTAGTAACTGGTTTGTCAACTCACCGTCATGCTGAAAATGCGTTTTAGGTTCTGAGCTTTCATTCTCCTTGATTCTATAAAAGATAGCTAACTTAGCACTATGTTCATTCTTTAATTTCTCTGCTACCTTTGGGAAGATTATGGACAACTTGAGTGGTCAGATCCTTTTTCCTGCCCTGTGATTGGGTCTTTTTGGTGTTTCCTCCTGACTACGACTTGAAGGACGGGAAACAGAAAAAACTTCCATTCTCCAGTTTCTATTTCGGAGATACCCCTTTGAAGTCAGTCCATGTGATTCGACTGATACCGGACTTATTTTAGGTTATTCCACATTGATTTGTGAATTTCCAGAGTGTGTTGCAACCCCGCTCGCTAGTACATATCCTAGCAGTATTTACCACTGAGATGGCCTCGGTTAGCAACTTGGTTGTGTCTGAGGAGCACTGCTGAACCGTACCATCTTTTGCACTCGCTGCACTACATTGTGCTCATAACGGGTTATCAACAGAATATGCGTTGGCAATCGCTTTTCTTGAACAGTCCAGACATCAAACAGAGGATTCCAAAATAAACTAGATACAATAATATCAAAAGACGAAAAGACTGATGACCAAAATGTGCAGAAAACTGTAAATTGTTAGAAGCAAAAGTGCCAACAAATACAATAAAAGCCAAGTATTTAAAAGTTAGGACGACAAAGTACTTTGGGAACAGAAACGATATTCTTAGAGCATACTTTATCTGAAATAAATTCAATTAAAGTGTAAACAGTAGTCCTGATATGTGTTGAACGATTAAAATAAAAAAATTCACTCAGCGAGGAAAAATACCACTATCTTTATTAAATATTGAAGTCAGAAGGCCTACTACCTGTGTTAATCCTTTTCTAGTAGTCTTTTGAGCGTTTAGTCTTCTCTTGAATGCGTCAATTGAGGGGGCAGACGCTATTTCTCCAGGTAACATATCCCAAGAATCGGTGACGGTATGAAAACCTGTACGCTTTCGATCTTTTGTTCGTTCTTGTCTTTCATACTCACTCGTTATGCCCCCTCAATTATCCCGACCTGGTGGGAAAAGAGATGATATATCACGTTCAAAATCAGTTCAAAGTAGTCTGTACATCAAAATCAGATCACCTATTTATCCGCGGTAGATCTAGCTTTCCAAGTCGCTCTTTGTATGATAAGCCCAGGATTTCAGAAATTACACGGGTAACTGCCTCTGTACTTTCGCGAGTTGTCAGGTTGTTAAGACCAGATTACGGAAACAGATTCTTCCTTATAGTGCACTTGTTCACTTTTGCATTTCCAATGTGCATATAGACACACTTGGACACGCCGATAGGCACCAGCCATTTTTCAGACCAGGTAATTAGAACACCTAAGTCCGCCTGAAGTGTTCATGCATCTCCATCTACCATAACTTCTCGCCAGATTTATGCATCATCAGCTTATATTAGCACCGGGGACGCAACCGTACATGAGAGTTCATTCCCATACAATATAAAAAGTAAAGGACCTAGGACGAAGCTTTGCAGTATCACAATAATTACTGATATCTCGGAGGAGCATTTAAAATTTACTCTTATTTTCTAGCCACGATCTACCAAAAAATCTTTAATTCATTTCATGAGGGGTCAGGCAAGTCGTAGATTTCCCAGTTTCAAGAGTAGTCTCTCACTGACACCTTATCAAATACTGTGCTGAAATCTACGTAGATAACATCGACTAATTTCTACTATCTAGTGTAAGATCCATTTTGAAGGTTTTGTTTGAGAAAATCCCTCCATGTATACATTTGTGATTCCTTCAGATGTAAAATTTGTCAGTCTTTTTGATTCCACTTGAGATGGTAATATTTGTATCTTATTAGTATTTATTTAACGTACGCCTTTCCTGAGTTTCCATGTTTCTTCCTGAGTTGCATTT